ATGGGCATTAAAAAGTCATGGTAGGTAGGGCACTTGCAGTCATTTTAATCATACTAAATACGTGATTTTTGGCGGCCATTTTAAATATTTATTTTGCATTTTCACACTAAAGATGTAAGTTAGGGTGTTTTATATACGTTCTATTGGATTCCTTGAACTAAAGAGCATGGGTATTAACACCAAGATTATGGTAATATATACACTAAAAGCCTTTAAACTGCCAAATTTGTGTTTTTTGGCGGCCATTTTGAATATTTTATTTAATTTTGCATTTTCATGATAAAAATGTATGGTATTGTATTTTAATAATCATTAATGAAATCTTGAACTAAAGAACATATGTATTGACACCAAGATCATGGTAATGTGGGCTCAGCCTTTAAACTGCCAAAATTGTGTTTTTTGGCGGCCATTTTGAATTTTCAATTTTTGGGGGGAAGGGGTGGAGTGACATCGTGGTTCCCGCAATTTTTGAAATCGGCATAGTCAAAAATCCCTAGGACAAAGTTTCATGCTTCTTTCCAGAAGTGCACGCCCAAGTCACATATCCGCCCCACTACTAGTAGGATTATATAAATAATTTAAATAAATTTTCTCACTAAATGGCAAATGATTTTAAAAAACTACCTTACTAGAATTTAGTAGGCCTAGAGGCCAATTCAACGAGTGCCATGCACCACCTCTGAAAATAATAATTACGTCACTTTTTAAAACCAGCTGCCACCAACAATTACAATAAATCGTCAACTTACGTCAACTCGCGTTAAAGGCCTGTTCATACTTCAACGATAACGATAACGATAAAAAAAAAAAGCTAAAAGCAATTGTTTATATAGAAACTAAAAGAAATAAGAGAAGTTTTTCCACTAGAACGATTCGATAACGATTTATTAGTTATGCGATAACAACATATTTTGACAAATCAAATCAGATGACGTCATAACCATGAAAAAACATTAAAATCGTAGTATTAGCAACGATTTTATCGTTTTTCCATGATTATGACCTGATCTTATTTAATTTGTTAAATATTTTGTTATCGTATACACGATAAATTTTTATCGAATCGTCCTAGTGTAAAAAATTCTCTTATTTCTTTTATTTTCTATATGAACAATCGCTTTTTAGCTTTTTTATCGTTATCGTTATCGTTGAAGTACAAACAGGCCATAACTCTATCAACTCACGCCACTATTGTAAGATACTTTATTATTATTATTATACCCGTTCATCAGTTCCTGATGCTGGGAGACAGCATACAGTTTCACAGGAGCAAACTTAGTTTCAAGGTGTACACTTTTTTTGGTGACTGATAACTCCACTCTTAGATCGGCAAATGCGTTCACATTTATGGCACTTGAAAGATTGAATCTGACAATATTGCAGCATGTTGAATGCCCAGGCGTCGCTGTTTTAGAAGGAACCATTTTTCATCATGATGGACTGCACCACTGTGTATTGCCTGACGCCAACCTGTTCTGTCAATTACTAATGATTCAAATCTGGATGGATGGATGTTGAAGCAATTCATATCAATCAATCAATCAATCTATTTGGAAATTGCACCTTTGCATCGGAGGCACACACAAAAAGTGGTGCATCCATAAGAAAAACACAGCACGTCTTAAACTAATCTTACAGGCATTAAAGAGCTACAGTAGAAAATACATTTGAACAAAATTTTCGGTCTTAAATTAATACACAGAACATATTCAATCAGAACCTAAAAAATTAAGCAAATTTAGCACTACAAGAAATTTGCTCATAAAAATACAAATATACTAATCTTACAGGCATTAAAGAGCTACGGTAGAAAATACATTTGAACAAAATTTTCGGTCTTAAATTAATACATAGAACATATTCAATCAGAACCTAAAAAAATTAAGCAAATTTAGCACTACAGGAAATTTACTCATAAAAATACAAATATACACATACATACACATAAAACATACATAAACAAATATATAATTATATATATATATACATATATACATAACATACATACATATACATATACACATATACATATTATACATACACACACATATATACACACATGTACCTATACACCCATACATATACCTAAAAAAAAAAAATACATACATATACACATATACATATTATACATACACACACATACACACACACATACACCCATATACACACATACATATACACGACTTAAAAAGAAAAAAAAAATACACATACATACATATATACGCATATATACACATATACATATATATATATATATATATACACATATACACATATACATACATATACACATACACACACACATATACATATACACACATACAAAAGACACACACACATATGCACATAATATACACATACATTTAAATACACACCCATACCATACACAAACACATCTACACCCATATACGTATGCACACAAATCACAAAATGTCAATTAATACTTAGAAATTACAATTTCTTAAAAAACGTTAAAAATTATAACAGTTAGAAACTTAACTAAAAAACATAACAAAACATGCAAGGCAAATGAGATAGAATAGAATAAACAATAACATCAACAACTATAGTTCGATGATAATTCATCATGAGATGATTATCATCAAAGTTAAAAGTGTTTATTTCTTATTTTATTTACCAGTTAATTTGCAATAAGTTTTTATACATATTTCATACAGTTGAGAGTGGGTTTCCATTAAAAAAGAAGAAAACTAATGGAAATTATGCGAACATTTTACAGTGTTTTAAACATAACAAAACAGACCTACCTAAACAGACATGAGGAATAGGCCTATAAACAAAGTATGGAAAAAAATCATTTATAGATACCAAGCATATAAGAGTATCGGTAGTACTAGATTGGCATCGTAAACGTCTATTTAACATTTAACATTTTTGTACGTAAAACCCATGCTTGTTTAATATAGCTCTTACATAAGTAAGAAGTAAATATATCTCTTTTACATCTGTCTCTGACAAGCGTAGCTTTGGACGTCCAACAGGTCTTGTCCCTTCTAGCTTCTAATTCCCCATATAGGAAATCCTTGGGGATTCTACTATCTTCCATTCTACAGAGGCGGCCTAGCCATCTCAATCTTCTTTGTTTCAGAATTGCAAACAGACTTGGTACACCAGAGAGGTTAAGAACTACCTCATTGGTAATCTTGTCCTTCCAAAACTAATATTTAGTATGCGGCGGAGACACCGTAGATGGAATGCATTTAACTTTAACAACTATAAAAAAGACATCTTAGAAGCAGTAGACTTTCGGAATTGAAAAGGGTACAGTAATCTATCTCTGCCAATCAGGAGTGGCGCCAGCAGGGGTGGGAGGAGGGGGTGTTGCCAGGGCCCCTGTCTGGGAGAGCTCCCCCCACCCCGTCGGGGAGAAAAAGCACAATTCATTGGGGAGAAAACAAAATTATATGTATTTTCTAGATATTAGTAGACTCTTAAATCGATTAAAAATAAGCGTTTGAACCCTAAATTGTCAAAATTTTTCTGGGCTCCGCGCCTCCGCCCCCTGGACCACTTTCGAAACCTTTGAAGCGAAGCTCGACCACGGCCACTTTGCTCTCGTGGTCGAGGGCATCCCTCCCCCCACCCCCGTCTGTTGTTAACACCGACATTTTCTTCTCTGTTGACGTTAATTTATCATGTTGACGCAGAATTTCTTGTGTTGACGGCAGGTGTCATTCTTTCTTCTCCTCTCTGCGGCCTGTTGTTTTTGATTACGGCGGATTGAACCATTGAAAGACGGGATCTGTTTTGTACGCAATTTAAATGGTGAAGCAATAGATTAAAAATAATAATAAAGCCATAGAGATATTAGAATTTAACACAATGTAAGTACCTATTAGTAAGTTGCGAGTCATATTTACATTGATGTAGTGTGTCTATTGAATCATGATAGAGCCTATTCTCTAATTGGTAGCTAGCTAACTAAGCTAGGCTAGGCCCTAGCCTGGTAGTAGTAGGTCTAGGCCTAGTCCCTGGAGGCTGGTAAGTGGTTACGAGTTGCTTATTGTTTTTGTAGTGGTGATTTTCCACTCCTCTGCGCAAAAAGGCCCTCCCTAACCCTATCTAGATAAGTTACAGTAGATAGGCAATTCGGAAAATAAGGGCCGGTTTCCGCGCTATTTTTCTTACTTTTCTTTACTTTGTATTCTTTGGCCGTTGCGAAGCAAATGCTTCCACTCTTCCTCAGGTCACAATACTAGGCCTAGGCCCCTAGGCCTACTTTGTTGTGGCGTAAAAATGTTGATGGGTGCCGATCCAGTCCATGTGCTAGGTCAAAATTTGATGGATTTCACTGATTTACTGTCAAATTTGCTGTGAGTTTTTCATTTCTTTTTTTTTTCTTTTTAAAAAAAATGTAAATCTAAATAAAAAGTGTATTCCCCAACCGCAGTAGTAGGGGGTTACACTTTAGTCAATGATTTTTGATGCATGCATCCATAGTCAACACCGGTCGAGTTTTGGTCATCTCGGACTTCAGCGCCTCCTACCCTATAAAAAACTTTAATGGATGTTTCCAAAATTCATTTAGTCCTGACTTAAAAGTATTTATTTAAGATGCATTCACCAACTCATCAGGGAGATTATTCCAGACATTAATAACTCTACAAGAAAAAGAGTAATTTCTTAAATTGGTGACACTACGGGTTTTATATAACTTAAAACTCTGTCCTCTAGTTTTTTGACAAGAGGTAAACTCAAAAGATGTAGCTGCATCAACTTTGACCCATCCCCTGATGATCTTAAAAACTTGTATAATTTCCGATCTAAGTTGTCTATACTCTAACGTTGGTAATCTTAGAATTCTTAACCTAATATGGCAAGTCATCCAATCCAACTACCAATTTAGTAGCCCTTCTTCGAACAGCCTCAATTAACTTAATATATTGCCTTTGGTGTGGGTTCCAAACGGGGCTATTTATCTCAAGATGTGGCCTTACCAACGTCTTATATAATATGCAAAATACTTCAGGGCTAAGTGGTCATCCATAATTATCAACATTTTCAAAAGAGTACAAAACATACACTTTAGGGGGGAGGGGGTTGAAAGTGTAGGCATAAGTACTCTTTTATGAAAAACATAAAATGTTGATCACAAAATGACACAAATCAACATTTTATTGTGTACACTTTCGAGGGGAAGGAGGGGGTAACAGAAAAGAGTATGTTTTGTACTCTTTTAAAAATGTTGATAATTATGGATGACCCCTAATGTTAGTAAAAGTCCTTTTAATAATTCCTAACATAGAGTTGGCTTTACAGATAACGCTAGTTATATGATTATTAAATTTCAATTTTTTTATCAAAAACGATACCAAATCGTTTTCACTGTCAACCTCAGTATACAGATATGCTTTACCACTCTCATGCATCATGTACACATTTGCATTTTCATTTCCCCCTATATGCATTGCATGGCATTTACTAGCATTAAAGTTCAGTTGCCAGGACTCACTCCATTCTTCTGAAGCATGAAGACCATTTTGTAAAATACGTACTGAGTAATTATAAAGCTTTGTATCATCAGCAAATATTTTAACACATGACTGCAATCCATCAACTAAATTGTTTACATAAATTAAAAACAAAATTTTTTACAGGAACTTAGGCCTGGGCCTAGGACATCTCAAAGTATACAACAACCAATGTATTTAAAATTGGTTACTATTCTGCGCACCTATTTTCCTAGTGATTATCCTCACAAATTTGAGTTAGTGTTTGTGATGTCCCCACAAATACTTTTTTTACAGTGTGGCTTCCTAGGACGTTAGCGTGTAAACAAAATTAAAATAAAATTTTATAATGATTCTTAAAATGAACTCTCTTTACATACTACGGAAAATTGTTGCACTATAGCAGGATATAAAAAAATAGGCTCCGAGCGGCAGCGTGTGTCTACTGCCTTATACAGGAGTTTTTGTTTTTTTTATTTTATCTTATGTTCTTCAATATGCAGATGTGTGTATTATTGTAGTGTATCTGGATATTTCATGAAATCTTCTTTCATAACAATATTCTGTATAGGCCTACTACTACATCACACTAAAAACACTTTAAAAATGTCATTATGTCGTTGATCACGAAGAGTACTACCATGTTCAAGAGGGCGTCCTTCAAATGACGGTAAAAGGCGTTCGTGGCGAACGCGTGCTGCGTCTCTATAACGCATGTTCGAGTTTCGAACGCAATTTTGTTCGAGTTCTGAACACTATTCAATTGTCAATAAAGCGGCGCCCCTTACCTCGTGGTAGTAGTAATCATCATGCCTAAACCGGATTTACCCTTTTCCGCCATCTTTAATTGCTACATCATGACATAGTGTCTATGCCCCCGTTGGGGGCAGTAGACAAAATAAAACAATCATAAACAAAGAATCTCGCCACCCAAGTTTGGGCCACAAGTCTAAATACACTCCATACTGTAAAGTTTTTAACTTGCGTGGATGATTCCTCAATATCCAGCTGAAAATTGTGCGGAAAATCTCTAGGAAAAGATTTATATTACATGTACCTAGCTCAAATCTTAATTTTTGGCAAAGTCTGCACGGAAATTGGCTCTTATTTTTCAAATGCACGGACATATTTATATGCCAAATTTTTGTTTGAAGGATATACTGTAGTCCCTCCATAGGCCTTAATTTACAGTCTGGAATATACCATTGGATGCATCAACATGGTCACCTACCAATATTTCACATCACCATGCTGTTATCATCTGGGCTTTCTAACATGTCACGGATTAATTGTAAGCAATTTATGGCGAGTTGATTGGCCAAGCGGTTAAGTCAGGGGGCACCCTAACCTGCAACTATAATATCGGCGCTGGTTTGAATGGCTCACTCGCCAATGGTTCCGGTGAAGGAACAAGTTTTCTCAGATAAGGACTTTAAACCGTAGGCCCAGTGTACTTATTTGGCTTGTGTTCACTTTAAAGAACCCAGTACATCCTTCAAGAAGAGTAGTTAGTTACCCCGGTGTACTGGTCCATTAAGTCCCCGGTTGTTAGATGTATATGCCACGTAGGACAGTGATTAAGTTCACTTATTGGCATATCCTTGGCGCTCGTGCCTAAAGAAATAAAATGAAATGAAGCAGTTTAACCTTTTACCTTGAAATAGTGACGTAACCCATTACCATACTCCTTTAGTTACCAGTTACGGTACCATTATTTTAGCCACAGCATCATTCAGTAGTCCATCACCCTCATCTAACCTCCAACTTGGTAAGCAATGAAATATGCCTATTTCTTTTGAAGCTTATTGAAATTAATGCTTTGACCCAACAGGTCTGAAGGTGATTGGATGAACGAATACTTACAGGAGTGGCTAAACAAGTAGGTTTAACTAGCATTATTACATGTTTTAAATTTTTTAGCAATATGATTCCATAATTGACATCATCATTATTATCATTGTCTTTATCATTATAATTGTCAAGATCATTACCAGTCAATGTTTGATTTGATTGAGATGTTGAAATAATATTCATTAGAAATGAAGTTACTGTACCCAAGCATTGTTAACCCTATTGATGCTATATACTGGTCACTACTCACCAGTCAATTTTTTAATTTTAATTAGGTAGAGGTAGAAAAATAATCTATAACTTTGGCGTCATTGTGCTTAATTGCATATCATAATCATGATCTTCAAGACCGCAACAATTATGATTTGGCATGGTCAATTAATTTTCTAATTAATATTGTTCTTTATTTTTATTATTGTTTGTTTTGTTAAGCTAATTTATATGGATACAGTGCTATGAATATTTTTGTAATAAAAAGTTAATTATAATGGTCTTAACCATCGGTATAGTTTCAATTGTTTGAAGCTATTAAGTTTGAATTTATAGCTAGCAAATAAAAGCAACTGAATGTTTAGATTGAATGCTTGATATTTTAAAGCTCTATCAAATTCAATTTGACAAAACATATGATGCCTAAATAATATGGTCATGATGACATCACATCATGACCATATATAGGTGCATCGTGACTAATGGCATACAACACAGTTTTTTTCAAGGAAAATTTGATAATCTGGACAGAGGCTTAGAGATTTCGCCTTCTGTTGTATCTTTAATCTGTTTTATAGCGGAAACGTCTTTGATTATGAACCTGATGGACTTGACATTGTTGGTGGTAGAGTAACCACATCAGCTGAAGTCAGGTAGGTTTCCTGTTAGACAGTGAAAATCGTTCCTTTTATTTATTTTGATCATTAACTACTTGAATCGATACTTGGCTGGTTTCAGTCTTCCACTTTAGAAATTAACTATAAAGTTGCACAAGAATTGCAATTATATTTTCATAGCTAAGTAATTGGGATAATTAGCTCTGACGACTGTGCCATGATATTTATCATTTGCTGTGAAATGTCATTCCAATTTTTTTTTTATCTTAAAATAAAAAAGTGACTGTTCATGTTTATAGGAAATCTAGAAATGGAAATATTCCAGTACAAAATAATAGATTGTAATTTGTTATGGATTTTCTCCTCCAGTATATAAATTTTAAATCATTGTCTAAAGTGCTAATTAGATATCAATGCGTCTCTATTGGATCTTTGGCCTGAAGTGTGTAATGCTATTTCTTGGTCTTGGGTCCAATTTCAACCATGGAAAAATTTGTTAAAAAGTGTTGTTATTCTTACAGTATTTCTCAGCCAGTGGACTCAGGCATTGGTACTGCCTCCTACGAGAAGTTGGAGAGTGAATCCTCATCTGCAACAGGTCTGTAGATTATAATGTTTTACTCAATATATCTGCAAAAAAATTTGAAATATTTGTTTTGTATTACATATAAATACTATCTGCTATTATTATTACACTACTATTACCATATTCTTGCTATTGCTTTACTCTTACTACTATTCACTACTATAGTAGTCCTACCTTGGGATTGTAGCTATGTTGCTTTTGTGCGGGTTAAGTATGACAAGCACTAGGTTTTCTTGATCGAAACCTGGGTCCAAATTAACAAATTTGGACCAAACCCAAATGTGTATAATTTTTGCTTAAATATTTGAAAGACGTTACATGTTTTGGTCTTTTACAGAGACTTTATCAAAGGCAAAAATAGGAGGGATAGACCCATGAAAGTTTTTCAAATAAATATAACACAGGTAAACCTGCACCCCGTAGTAGATCGTTGTCATGTCCTTCCACCAGCACCATTATTTGACACCTTGAATCTACACGTATTAGCCAAGACACAATTGGCTCAAGCAACTACACTCCTAAACTTAAACTACCCTTTTTATTCCTAATATTTCCATCTTTTAGTTCTAGTTTATAATAATAACCAAGCATAGGAGTGATGTTTTGCCCTACCTGACGTGTTATCCTAATACTCAGTACGTCCCCAAATACTAGCAAAAAAGTTTGCAAGTGATTTGGGTGAGAATTTTTTTTCGCTAGTATTTAACGACGTACCGAGTATTCGGTAGGGCAAAACATCACTCCTATGATATTTTCATGAACAAACTCACATCGTAATAATAACCAAGCACTTATACAATACTCTGTTGTGAAACCTACAGTGCATTCCAAGTCACAGATCAACTAACAATACAGAGCTTTCGATTCGTGCGACGACGTGACGCTAGAACACAGTTAGTCATGCGTGACCATCCTACCGGGTGACCTATGTTCTCTGCATAAATAGATTTGGCCAAATTGCATCCTAGAATCCAGCAACAAGGAGAACCTAACGTTCTTGCTTGCACAGAGAATTTTTACTGATGTCATTGTGTTCTACGTCGTATGTTCTACGTTGTCGTGCCGTGGCACTGAATCGTGGTCCTCTAGTCCTGGGAGAGGATTCACATCGGGGGACGAATTTCATTTACCATGTATCAACCTTTAGGTGAAACTTTCTTTTTACCTTGTTTTGCCAACATGCCAGCAAACTATATTAATTATTTTGAATATATATATATTTATCCAATTTATCCAAAATGGGCCACGAAAAAATGGAAATTTCAGAAAAAAATAAAAGTTTTTCTTTATTTTTACTTCACTCGCTGCTGTCTTAAAATAAGATATGTATATTTCTTCCTAATTATATAAATCTAAAGCATTGAAGCATCCTATTACTACACTGTCTACGTTCAACAATAAATTAAAAAACATTTTTTTCCTCTCTGGATGTTTTTGCCAAGAACATTTGCTAAATCAGAAAAATAAATTTTATTTTTATTCCGCCCTCCTCTGGCGATCTTTAAAAAATAAGTTTGTGAAATAAGGCATAAAAAAAGTCTCACCTTCAGTCTTCACTATAAATTTACAATAAAATTATAGTTAAAAATTTCTTTATATACAAAATTCCTATCCTAGTTATAATTGCAACACTAAAGGAAATTCATTAATGTTATATAGGGTATTTCACTTTTAACTACTGAATAGAAATCTTAATTGTAATGTTGTATTTATTGATATTTTCTCTAGCATCCCAGGCTCTTGTTGCATCTTCTCATGCTATTGATCCTGCTCTAGAGACTCAAGTTGCATCTTCTCAGGCTCCTCTTCCGGATCAACTTCCTGCTCTTCGGACTTCTGTTCAGGAGTCTGAAGATGGATTCTTTTCTCAATTCCAAGAGCTTAAAACAAATATAGAAAAGAAGAAAGTTTTAAAAACATTTGATACAGTGATTTCTGGTATGTAATATAGTATCTATTTGATTAAATTTAAGTTTTAACCTGAAGGTTACAATGTTTATAGTTCTATAGTTCTGGGTTCGAATTATCTAGAATGCAAGCAAATTTTCCATGAATGAAATCTTTTCCATTCCTTAAATTTAATTGAATAATCAAATTTCATAATGAATGTGTTTATTTTTTTTCTTTACTACAAAAGTAGTAAAAGCCACTGTCACCAGAAAAGTCTGCTACTCGAAACAATGGGCTTTTTCGACTGGTTCATTTCGTTGAGTACAATTTTCGTTTAGTATTATTTTCATTCGACCGGTTCGGAACATAGAATTCGTTGACAACGAATGCGTAATTCAGCGTTAAGTTATGCATGTGTCCAAAAAAATATTGCCGATTGGTCAGTTTAGCAACAACATTTGCGTTAATATAATTTAGATTAAATTTCTGAAAATAAAAATTATAATATTTACACACATTGAAGTCAAAAAATAATTGTAGGCTAACAGAATTCAAAAACTGGATGAAAACATTTTTTTTACGCAAAACCCATAGTGCCACAATCTAAAGCAGCTTTGATTACCCAACGTGTATCGCGGTAACTATGCATCCATTTTGATTTGTCGAGTATTTACCAGTTTTCTATTTCTGCGCAGGTGTGCATGGTTTAAAGAAGAACGACCAGTCAAATACGACCATTGAAATAGATTGAAACAATTTTATGACCCTGGCTTTTATTAGGAAATCTGCAGGCCATATTTGCCAACAAGAAAAAATATAACTCTTTTATAATATTTAAAACAAATATAATTATTTGATGGGTAATTTTCAAAAATGCAACCTATGTGCATGACTTAATGAAATTGACAATGTTCTCATAGTTCAAAGATAGTTATAGTTTTCGTTTGATTGAAAATTTGTTTTGTGTTAATGGTTTCCTCTGTATTTGTTTTCCAGCCTACCAGTTCGAAGAAGATATAAGAAAGCAAATGGATAAAAGTATTGCAAGACAAGAATGCCTAAATGAAATTACCATACCACCTATTCAACTTCCAACGAACAAATACGATAATGTAATAAATTTTTCATCTTGTTAATTTTTTATATTTTACAAAATCATAACATGCTGTTTGTAGTGTGCTACTGTCAATAAATCGTACATTGGTGATGACAGCTGACTGTCGAGGCCTAGAATAGAGGTTGTGTATATGGATAGAACACTTATCTCTACTATAATAGCTGGATTGCTCATTGGCTGGTTTTATTGAGGCCACCGACGCCATGTTGGGGCCTAAGTGACGTATCGGTTTAGATAAATTTCTTTTGGCAATTGTTTAAATTACTGTTAAAAATAACAAATTTTGCAATACTTTTAATAATAAATTTAAATTTAAAGTAAAATTTTTTTCAAATCATCTAACCACTCGACACAGTTTATGCAGTTTTAAAAAGCGCAAGCAAAGTTGTGTTGTTAGTGATTGGCGTCACGTAACAACGCCACTTAATTTGCTCGTGCTTAAACTTTGCTAAACTGATACTTCACTTAGGCTCCCCAACATGGTGTCGGTAGCCTCACTTTTTTCTGTACAATGATTGGCCGATGAGCAATCCAGCTATTATAGTAGAGATCAGTGGGATAGACCTATCTACATGCTAGCTGTACAAACCTGTCAAATCTGAGGTCAATCTCAGGGCCTGATTTGGAGTTTGTTGATGTGACAATTGCACATAATGAGAAAAACTAATATCAACAATATTTTTGATTAAATTAATTTGGTGTTGTTTGCCCTGAAAGGTTTCTTAAAAAATAAACTGTAATTCCATCATTGTATAAATATATAACTTTGCTTGCTTTGGAAACCATAGCTCCCAAAAGGGTATTATTTTCAGGTATAACAGAATTAGGTAACAGTAATCTTTAAGTAACATGCAAATTGTTTAATAGCTGTTTATATTTATATTTCCAGGACACAGACGTACTGCCTGTATACAAAGGAATACAACGAGGTACCTTTCAAAACTTAATAATCTTAAAATTCAAAAAGTATATGTAATTGTATATAAAAAAATATTAATGTAATACTAAATAATATTAATAATAGTATAATACCTATAGATTATAAATATAAATTGTAATGTTTATGTAAAATATCCTTAAAAATAAAAATATAAAAAAATTACCTATATTTCCAATGGAGTCCCAACAGTTTTTCCAAACTTACCATAAACCTTAAACCTCATTTTAATTTGCCTGTTAATTATAGATATAAATGTTGGTGAAAAATGTTGACTGCCTTAAAAAATGTTAAGATCAGAAGACCAGATGACATTTATGAAACAGTAAGGTATATTTTTTACCCACTTTATTTTCAGTTGGTCCCGAACGAATAAACATCAACGATAGATTTGGTGAAGAAGAATTCAACCGAGATCCATGTAACATGCACGTAAGTAATAAAAAGTGCCTTCCTTTTGTGGTGCATCGTATAAGAATCATAAACTGTAAGCCAGTGTACAAAATTGGCTCATGTGCTCTATAAACAAGCAGTACATCTTTTGAGATAAGTAGGGATTACCCCTATGTACTCATCATACAGCCCCTGTTGTGACTACAAGAGTAGCTAGCACCAGTTTACCTCTTAGGGGAGAAGTAAGGTACTGTATAAGCTAGTCCACGCCTTGTGCAACTTCACTATCAAGCTGTATGTAAATCCAACTACATGCAATCACTGGTCGTCACAACATCAGGTGCCACCCTCTGTTGTCAACCAGACGTTGGTTACCATTCATTACGCCTGAATGACTTCATAATTTTAATGATTTAGAACAGGCTTTCTGGAATAGGCATTTTAAAACCTAATACTGTAATTTACCACCAAAATTACTAAAAACACAAAAGCTTGCAGTTATCAAACACACATTTAACCATCAATTAAAATTTACAAAGAAAAACTAAGATACAACATCTTAATAATTACGTTAGAAATTGGGATCAATGGTTTGTCAGTGGAGAAAATAGCATCCGGTTGAACGCATTTTGTGTCGCCAATAGCAACGGAGTAGTATCACGTGGTATTGTGACGTAACGCTGTAGTACTCTATTTTACTGATTATTGGTGAGGTTGAAGATTTAGAATTATATTAATCCCAGGAGAAACAAAATATAGTATAAATAATAAATAAATTGCCAGTACAACACGTAAGTATAAAATTTATTCATAGAAAGGATTTTAGGAAAAAGGACAATAATAATAAGCGATCAACGATTAAATCCATATATTTCTAAACAGGCTTATGTCAACGGTGTGCGAGTTCCATTTGCTGATGCTCCACCACCTGTTCAAGTTCAGGAAAGAGAAGGTACAAATCAATCATTGAATTTTAAACTTTATTTGATATTGTTTATCTGATGATGTACTTTAGAAAATAGTTAAGAATAATCACTTCATTACTCACTTGAAAAACTCAAATATCGTCGCGATTGAAACAATTTAGTTTTAGATGATTTACAAACTTTTTATACAAAAGTGTTTGAATTGATTACCATTAACTGTTAATGCAAAAGAATATTGAATGTCATAAATTCCTACTTGACGTTTTTCTGAGCGGTAATGAAATGACTAGGAGTCCTTATTTGACAATACATACAAAAATATAGATGCAGTTCACAAAATTGAAATACCAGCAATTCCTTATTTTGTGTAAATCCAACAGTTATCTAATGTCAGAAAACTACTCCATTTACTCTACTCTCAAAACTGCTAAACTACCAGTAGCTGGTAACTCATCACTTTATAGAAGTATAGAATTCCAGAACATTCCATATTACAGTATATCCAATTATATTTCTAGCAACATTACATCATCAACTAGCCAATAGCCATTATGTACTATTACTACAATACATAGAACATTCTAGACTCTACATGGTACAGTATTAGGATTTTCTGCCAGCTTCCAATTTTTTTTTTTATCTTGAATTGCCAAAGTGATTGTGTGGTTAAATAATTAAATCAATACAAGACAAGGAATGTTAATTTACTAATACACTAGAAATGCTAACTGACTACTTGAGCTATATAATAAAGTTTTTTTCTTTTTTTCATTTCAATATATTTTTTTGTTCTTTCTTTCATCCATCATCGAGTTCTAAGAAAATACTTGTAGTGGCACCCTCAGTTACACACTGTAACACAACTAGTATATACTTTAATGACAAAATGTTCAAATGTTTCATGTATTAATGCTTCAATCAATCATTCATTAGATTTGTTTTTCTTTTATTTCCCCAGGACCGATTCCTTTTGAGGTACTTGGCTTCCAAATGGTAAGATATGAACAATAATAATAATAAGCCAGGCAGATAGTACATTGGCACTGTCTGTCATTGAATCTATCTCCGATCTGTATGTGGCAGGGGTTTAGCCTGAAAAACGAAATAGGCCATCCAAAATGGAAGCCAGTGGGCGGGCCATCCCCACTCAGGTCCACGCCCCCTCCCAAACATAAGAAACAAAGTAGAAAATTATGATCTTTAGTGGGCATTTAAAGGTGTTTAAATGCTGGAATTTTGTCTTCAAAGGAATAGTGTTGAATTAGCTATCACCACGATATTTCAGTTATAGACTTTGATTGTGCATGGCTATGGTTCTCACATAATGTTTCTAGGCTATGCAGATGCATCTTCGTCTCTCAATCAGGCTAGGCCGAACTGATTAGACCAAGCCGTCACAGTAAAAGTGGCCGTCCTAATTAATTGTTGGCTATTCAAAAGACGGCCGGACGGCTCCCAGGCTAAGCCTATGGTGTGTGCGCTTCATGATATAATGCTGTTTGAGATGCTTAAGTAAACATTAATTAAAGCAGTTTGGCACAATGGGAACTGTTTGTTTCTCAAGCTTGACATCGGGGTTTCAATACCTTGCAAGGCACTTTATCTGAATTGCTTATCTTCAACCCAGAAGTATAAGTGTGTACCTACTGGCTTTGCCTGCTTCTGCACTGATTACAGCAGAAACACTTAAGCATGTGTACCCCATGACCTGAGACAGAATTGCTTGATATCTGCAAAGCTATATAAATACCCAAATGAATACAATTATTAGATTGTGGCAATTTGGATTAAATGGATCTTTCCCTTAAGCCCTGCCCCTTTGATATATATACACATTACAATCGCATAAATGTATGTAAACAAAACGTGTGTGTTTAGGACATGTATGTACTCCTTACTCTCTTCTGGTCAGTTGTTATGTTTCATTTACACTCCGCAACAACACATTTGCCTAGCTACCAGTTTATTAATATATAAAATTTGTATAATTAAATTATATTTTATGAGGCGCATTTTTGCTATATGAGATTTATGGCCATAATTAGTCACCAGCTTACATTTGGGTTCTTTTATTCAATTAAACAGCATATCCAAAATTCAGCTGCTTGAATGTGCTCTCTCATTCCAAGATGCACATAATATTATCCTATTTTTAAAAACATACACTGACACTTTCCATTTTTGATGAGAGTTTGATGTAAATTACATCAATTTTCCCCCTCTGTTATTAATGATTTTTTAAAATTACAGCAACCAACTCATATACTACGGAAAGGTTAAAGTGTATGGCGCAGTGTGTAAGGCGTTGAGCTTTCAATCTGAAGGTCTGGGGCTTGATTCTGTATCCAATGACCAGCAAAAACAGAGCTTTGATTAGTTTTCTAGATATGTGCGCTTTATAAATCCTATAAAATGAAAAAATAAATATACTTACTTACTTGATACTTGATAGTTAGGCCCTCTTTTCCAGTGGAATGACCCTCATAAACAGAGCCTTAGTAGTTTTCTGGATATGTGCGCTTTATAAATCCTATAAAATGAAAAAATAAATATACTTACTTGATACTTGATAGTTAGACCCTCTTGTCCAGTGGAAGGGCCCTCATATACACAGGGTTTTAGGAATTAAAATGTTCACATGACAGCTGAGCCTGATATAAACAATGTATGCAAAAGTACTAGAGCAAGATGTTTTAAGTGTATTCACCAACGGCCAGTTGGATCACATGTAATGTGACTGTATTCTTCAATCTGAGGTAGCTATGATTCTGACATTGTATTCCTTAAATGACTATTGACCAGGTATTTTTCAACCACTGCATGGAAGCCCATAAAATGTTTTGAAAAGTTGAAGAGCTCAAATAATGGTACTGTAGTATCTACATTAGATAATGTATATGTAATTGATAAGATATAATGTAAGGTCATTATTCTATATAATGTAATTCTAATAATGTAATTCACTTATATTGTATATAAAATGATCATTGTTCCAGTTGAATATTCCCCATCTGTGCAATTTGTAGCAATATAATAATAAAAATTATTATTATTATAATAATATATTTGTATTTGTATATCAGTGTTATTCTACTACAATTAAAGAAAATTTGAGGATTTTATGACAGAAATATCATTAGTCTTAAACATTTTTTGAAAGATTCTGTCATTATGAATGACTGTTATTTGTTACTTATGTTTGTGTAACTTAAATTTTAATGACTTAAAATGTCTGTGGCAAACTGTTGGCTGAAATTAGTTTTGTAATTGATTGATTACTTTTATTATTGTTACTTGATATAAATATCATATATTTTGTAATTTGTAACCTGTTTATCCCTATTTATTTTACGACTTAATGTAGTTTGACCCTTATTTTTTTTACTGTATTTTCTTAAATGTGAAGAGTTTTATTTATACATATTTAAACTTACTTCTAATTGGCTCTTGCAATAATATGCATATTATATTTATATTAATAAATAATAGACAACTCTGTTTAAAAAAGTATGAAGATCTACTTATTGCTTAAAGAAATCACAACATATAAAGTGTGTTAGTTAAATTTATTTGAATATGTTTTTGTTAGTTACAACATTTGCCAGTAACAGGTCAACAACAGAAATTGCATATATATATATATATATATATATATATATGCTTGTATGTAATGTTTTATGTATGTTTTTTGTATGTTTTATGTTTTCATCTATTTGTGGGAGGATTTTATTTAAAGGAGGTGTTATTGGTGTAAAATAGATAGGATTCAAATGGATATATATTTACTCAATGAATGCCCCTTAATTTTACAGCAAGTGTAGAACTGCAACACATAATTACTGTCAAAATGTTTTATTGTTGCATTATCATAGAGACATTAATCATAACCAGGTTAGAAAAAATGTAATTCTATTGAGTAGAACATTAGTAGAATGTTTTTAGAATGATGTTGCTTCCATTAGATTTGCTTACTGTCTTTTATTCAAGGAAAAATGAGGTATTGTGCACACACCTGGAGCAAATTCAATTTACTGAAATTATGTTACTTAATTGGACAGCGTCAAAACGTATTGTTTTTAATTACTGAATATCTCATGCAACCATCATGAAGAGGGCTTTCTGTAGATGCAAAAGAACATTTATTAAATGGTTAGCTAATATATTTTAATGAGTATTTTAACCAATTTTTCATTTTTTGAAGACGATCCAGTTTAAATCAAGTTACTAATTTTTAATAATAAAAATAAACAGTGTTAACTGTTTGAAATCAAGAAATTTTCTGCATTGCCTGGGGGGTCAATCAATCAACTCCAGTCAATAAATACATTCATTCAACTAATGGAAAGAATAACAGTAATGATGACATATTACTGTATTTTCAACATAATTATTTTCTATTAATTGGGGATCGATCTTAGAAGCAAAGCTCGTCTTAGTAGCCTAGATCCGAATAAGAACAGGACCAAGAATACGCGCATGTCCCACAAACACGCTCCCACGTGTGTGGCCGAGTAGAACGTAGCCAATTTTTTTGTGGCCGAGTTGACTTGTGGCCGAGTAGAACGTAGCCAATTTTTTTGTGGCCGAGTTGACTTGTGGCCGAGTAGAACGTAGCCAATTTTTTTGTGGCCGAGTTGACTTGTGGCCGAGTAGAACGTAGCCAATTTTTTTGTGGCCGAGTTGACTTGTGGCCGAGTAGAACGTAGCCAATTTTTTTGTGGCCGAGTTGACTTGTGGCCGAGTAGAACGTAGCCAATTTTTTTGTGGCCGAGTTGACTTGTGGCCGAGTAGAACGTAGCCAATTTTTTTGTGGCCGAGTTGACTTGTGGCCGAGTAGAACGTAGCCAATTTTTTTGTGGCCGAGTTGACTTGTGGCCGAGTAGAACGTAGCCAATTTTTTTGTGGCCGAGTTGACTTGTGGCCGAGTAGAACGTAGCCAATTTTTTTGTGGCCGAGTTGACTTGTGGCCGAGTAGAACGTAGCCAATTTTTTTGTGGCCGAGTTGACTTGTGGCCGAGTAGATGTGGCCGAGTTGACTTGTGGCCGAGTTGACTTGTGGCCGAGTTGACCTGCACCCCTCATCATGACCAGCACACAATTTACTGTAAAAAAGTTAGTGATTAAAGATTAATGCATGCAAAATGTATGACGGGCACCTAACTCAACTGATTTATATAATGAGTACTGTACTGTACTATACAGTGGCTTTACTGTCACACTCTTGCACCGTTTTATCAGGCAGATGTTTTGTATTGTTTTTGTACCTTTTATTTCATTTACTTTGTGAACGCACCAATTATTGTTGAGTGCCACCGTTTCGAAGGTGTATGTTCAAATAAATAAATAAAAATAAATGTTATAGGCCTGTGTACTTTTGAGGTAAAATTAATAAACAGATAAACAAGAAAAACTACCTTAGTATTCGACATCCCTGCTATTATCAATAACCACTCTGGTTTTTTCTTGTTGACGAAAGAATGAATACTTCGTGTACGTATTTATATGCTGATGATACTGTACTAAATTAGACGCTGACGGGCAGAATCTAAAAATAGAAAACTATAGGGGACGCAATTTCATATAAAAGAAGCACAGTTTGCTTACCAATGATTGAGAGTTCATTTCGGAGTTGGTCATGTGTACTTCCGTATGGTGAAGCAGCATCCCACACCCAATGTACGTTGTCGCGCGGGTCTGAAAACACGGTTGTTTTTTTTCCTTGTTACAAACCAAATCAACAACAAACAATAAATACTGATACTTTAGAACACAGAATTGATTCTTATTATTTAATAATGCAAGCTATCAAGTGTGTTGTAGTCGGAGACGGGTAAGTAAAAGCCGCTGTTTACAAGTATGCCGTACGTAAACTTTAGTATTTCCGGGTGTAGGCGCAGGCTTATTATACCCTTCTCCAACCAGGTCTAGCTAGGCCCTAGGCTAGGCCTATACTTGGCCTAGGGCTTTATTAGGCGTCAGGAATACAATGGCAACTACATAGTATCTACTTGGGCAGGCCTAATTAGCTTATGCTAGGTCAAGGTGAATTAGTTGTTTATTCATTGTTAATTTTCCTTAAATTCATATTTGCAAATCCTGCCCAGGTCTAGGGACTAGGCCTACTACTAGGGCCAGGACTAGGCTAGGCCCTAGGACTATTTTTTTAGCCTAGGGCCTAGGCTAGGCAGTCATTTAAAAAAAAAAATGTGTTTATGGAATAGAAACAGAACAAACGACTTATGCCTCGATCAAGTGTTTTTATCCAGGCTTGGTTATTCCTTTATTTAATTTCAAGTTAGGCCTATATGATGCTGTTGGCCTAACCCTAGACGACCTTACTGCTGTGTGACAGTGTGTTGGTATCTTCCCCCCCCCCCCCCAGACTGACTGAACCGCAGATATCCGCTGTACACAAATTTAGGCGTACTAGAAATTCCTCTATGCATTAAGAATAAAGGCTGATTTGCAGTGGTGAAGGCACAATTTTTTGGCCATACTAAAAAGCAATAAAAATGTGACCCTGTCCAAGGCTCTAGCTGGTCAGTCAAATGGTTCGGACCCCTGTCCAACTTAAGTCCCTTTCGTCACATTTTTTGAGCCACCACTGTTGATAATCCATGCAGATTTTGCAGAAAATTAGGCTAGCCTCTCAAGAATATCCAATGAATTATGCAGTTACAGTTCTGTGCACCTGTTGTGCAAATTTGAGTTAGTTTTTGATGTATCCCCATGCAAATAAAATTCTTTAAAGTGTTGTAGCAGCAATTGCAATTACCATTGTATTTTTTTCTTTCAGAGCGGTTGGTAAAACATGTCTTCTTATAAGTTATACCACCAATGCCTTTCCAGGAGAATATATACCTACAGTGTAAGTACTATTATTTTTTTATCTTGTATGGAATCAGACAACAAGGTACACTGCCTTCTGTCAGAATTTGCTTTATATAAATAAATTACTGTTTTATTTATTTTTATGTAATATTATTTATTATTATTATTAATCTGTTATCTTAATTGTTAATGTCAGAATTTCATATGCTTTTTAAATGTACTTCATACCAATTTTTTTTTGTATTTTTATGTGAATACACTATTTGATACAAATTTTTTCTTAATTAAATTTTACCTTTTTATGTACATATTTATCTCTTTATTAATCTTATCTTTAATTATTATTGTCATGTTATTGATATGTACTTCACACCAAATTTCTGTTTTATGTACAGTATTTTTATGTGAATTAGATTCATAAAATTATAGTAAATCTTGAATCTTGGAAAATAACCATTAATTTCGCAGGGTTCCCATGTTTGAAGCTACTTCCAAGAGTTCTGGTTAATTGAGCTTTTATTTTGCTGTGGGTGGTGATAGTTACACATTATGGAAAACATGCAAATATCATGAATTGCGGGAGATAGGTTTTTTCCACTAGATTTTTGCTTGCTCCTGGCAGTTCGGGAAACTACTGAACTCTGATTTTTTGGGAGACTACTGTACTGTGATTCGCGGGAGACTTCATATCCCTGGAGTGGTCGTACAGGTACTTTAGGCTTATACCCAGATACCGAAAGTGGTTAATACTGTAGTAGGACTGCAGACACAGTGTAGTACCTTCTGAATTGCACCAGAAAACTACTTAGATTTATTTGCATTCATTCATCTATGACAAAGTCAATATACAAATGAAATGTCTTTCATGAAATACTGAACACAATGAATAAGATACTTAAAGCTACAGACAGTACTGTAGATTTTAGTCATTCCATTAAAGAAATGTTTACCATGAATCTTACTAAGAATTTCTTGGTTTCCATACAGTAGACGCTACCAAAGTCAATTGATTTCCTATGGATTGAAACCATACAACTACAGTATGGTTTCAACTCTTGGAATCAATTAAATAGATCTTGTATGGTATAATATTTATTAAGCACTGACTCTTTTTTTAGAATGTCTGTCCTGAAGTTGCACAACAAGCACCAATTACGTTGTCAGGCTTCTCTCTTTTTAAAAACCAATTTATAATGTTCAGATTTAATGTTGAAATATTGATATGCAGGTCTCTGAAGTTGGCCTCGCACCATAAATTGCCATTAGAACAAGCATTCTGGCGATTGCAGTGGACTGTAACCCTTCTTTTGCGGTATATAAATGCCATCAAGCAGAAGGCATTTACTGTACCCTTCTGTTGAGGTACTATACCTCAGAAAGAATTTACCAGATAAGAATTTTGGTCATAGAATCATTTAAAAGCCAGGGCAAAAGTTTGATTTAGGCTGGTACAATACATATTTTCTTGCTTCCACCTACTAAAATATCTGCACAGTGGCATCGAGAGGGAGTCAGGGGGGTTGCTGCCCCGGGGCCCAGGACTACTGGGGGGCCCGGACCAAGATGAACAATTTTCGGGGTGAGAACAAAATCTCCCGAGCCCAAGCCAGGATGAAAACTTTAGGAGGGGACTTAATTTTTGGAGTGGCCGAGTGGGGGTCCCAAGTGAAGGGGTGAGGCATGTGAGGTGTAGCCCCGGGGCCCTTACTGGCTCTCGACGCCACTGTATCTGCATATAGGGAAATAAGCAAAGTATTTTAGCTACCGTAATAAAGTTTTGATGGCAGTGTAATAAAATATGACCTGCATTATAACATATTTTTATACAGTTAGCAATGCTAATAAAAAATGAAATTAGGGAATTTCAACACTAATTCATCATAGTAAAGCCATTACATTGTTCACATTAATATCATCCAACATCTTATCAATTTACTGTATCATGAAATGATAACTTTCAGCTTTAATAAGGTTCCTGACATTAATTGTTGATCCTCTATTTACGTCATATAAATTTACACACTTGATGGGCGTTGGTCCCAAAATGCTCAAAAATTAAGCCATAGGAAGTTGGACTGGACATTTGGGAAAATGTGAACAAATAAGTAGAACAATATTGCACAACCAACAGTATATATTTGATGTCTTTAAATATACTTTTAATTGTTTTGAAATGCAATACTGTACAGTATGTCAAATGATCAGTACTAAAATATACATTATTCTCAATTTTGTTGTGTGTTTACGTCAGGGAAATATACTGTAGGAGTAATGTTTTGCCTTACTTGACGTGTTGTCGTACCAAATTCTCAGTACGTTCCCAAATACTTGCTAGAAAAAAAATTGGGAAAGTACTGAGTATTCAGGATGATTACACGTCAGGTAGGTCAAAACATTAGTTTCACTAGTCACATAACAAGCAGGGAACTTGCATTACTGTAGCTCATTTGGGAATATTCAAAGATTTTGTAGCTAGTGGCCAAGAGGCACATTGAATCTCTTGGAGGCATTTTTTTGGAGAAAAAATTCAAAATACACTGTTTGGTGATATAGTGTAGTGTAGGCCTACAGATACCCACTTACATTCCTTGTTATGAGAGACCAATGTGGATAAGCTAGGTGGAGGCAAGTCCCTTTCACTATGCAAGGATCCGCAACTTGTAGACTACAGTCCAGTGGCATATTCAAGAGGGGCCCAGCTGGCCGGGTCCCCTTCTAAATTTTTTAAATAAATGGAGATAGACAGATAATTATATTCAAATTTTTAGACTGAGAGTACCATATCTTTTTATCTAGAGGTGCCATAATCATGAATTTTCCTACCTCGGTCCCAACAATGGTGGGGTTATAAACCCCTCCAATTGTGAATGTCATTCCCTGGTACCCCTTTATTTCAAATTTCTGGATCTGCCACTGGTATCCACTGCACAAGACAGAACCAATAACAATGTTAATTGTTATTCTGTCATGTACTGTATTGAGGCCTTCATGCTTGAATAGCATCTGTGCAAAAAATGTATCAAAACACCAACTTACTACCACCATCATTCATTCAAATGAGGATTATACAACAATCCTGGGTATTATAGGATTAGAGAAATGCCACTTAGTGAATCATGCCCTCAAAAAGCATATTCTTTACACTGTATACTCATAAAATTTAATTTTTTACTAGTATTGATAACAAGGGTGAATTATCATGTAACATACTGTGGATCATTTGAGGCTTGCCATCCCTAAATCAATGACTAAAATATGAAAATTGACTTTCTAATTCTTGATAGGTCATATATTTACTGGAATTGACTTTACTATTGCCAATGTAAGAGTAAAGATATTATGGCTTACTGTACTACAGTAAAGTATACAATATTGCCACATTATTATGCTAATACTCAGTTTAACAATTAGCAACAAGCCTCATTTGGGACCCTCGCCAAAGACAATAATATATTCAGAATGTTTTATCTTTACATGCCCCTAATTAAAGACCCCTCCAATTTAAGATTACCACCAATTAATAATAAAGATGTATTTTATCTTTATTATTCTAAGTAGAGACCAATGCTGCTAAAGTCCATGCAAACCCCAGTCCCAAAAGTGGTCTTTAAATTGAGGGGAGGTCTGTATTACTGTACCCACATAAAAATAAATAAATGTTCAAAGTAAATACTATATTAGTTCTATTAAATTATATATTTTTAACGGTTTATGGCAGTAAATCAATGGACATATTATAGATAAATTGTAGGTCATTTATGTTTTTATTGTTTTCTAACAAACGCTCTTTTCTGTGATTTCTATTTCTCCCTGAAATAGTGAAATGAGGATATTTGAGATCATATGCAATATAAATTGTATCATTAGGCCTATATAATATGACCCATTAGGCTTTCAAGTCATGGGAAAGCTGAATTTTGTAAGATGATTATCAGTAGAGACCGCTGCCGTGAGATTCGAATTGAAGCTGAACAACAAGGTTCCAGACTAACTGTTGCCCCTGGGGCTCAGTACAAAAGCTCTGTAGTTAAGACACATGCTAAACTGTATTTGTGTGTAGATTTGTTATGAAGACTTTTTATTCCCTGAATCCCAGTTGAAAATATCTAGTCTACTTTGATAAAATCAAAGATACTAGAAACACAAGATACAGTAGAACTCTAGCATAGCAAAATGAAATGGATATACTGTACGTCGTATCTTGTATGCAGGTCATATCTTTTACACGGATCCAGACATACGCGGCACCCTTCTGTTTCTAATAACAATTTATGTAAGTTACTGTATATCCAGACCAGACCCAGATGTATGCGGCGCCTCATTTATTGGGACGCCGCGTATGACTGGATATAAACAAACTTGTGTTAAGTACAGTTTATCCACAATGCAATTCGGTGATACAGTTTTTTTTTGGAAGAGTTCTATCTTGTGTTTCTGTATCCGATAAAATATACATACATACAAGAGTACAGCAGAATACAAATATATTTTGAAGTGTTACAATTTAAATATTTTCCTTTTAGTTTCCGGTAACCAAACTAAATTTAGTTTAAATAAGTGTCTTGGAAAGTTGCCTAATTTAATAAAGTTTATGTTTCATGCTATTACTGTTTCCTCATTTTATGAATATTTGTTGTGTAAGGACCCAAGCTCTTATAAATTACAGGAGACTTTAATAGTAAAAAAACCGATATGAAACTTTTCCCAATCAATCAAGAAAATTTATGTACATGTAGTGTCTAACATACACAAAGTGTTCAGTGGTGCTGTCAAGGGTGGCCAATGGAATTTAAATCAATTTATTTTTCCTTATTTCCTTTAATTTTGTTGTAATAAACAGTATAAAAGGCTTAGTACAGGTATTGTTAATTATCAGATAATACTTGACGGTTGAAACAATATATTTATACATCTTAATAGGCTTATTTATGATTTGATTCTATTATTATTGTTGTTATTATTATTATTATTATTGTTATTATTGTTATTATTATTATTATTATTATTATTATTAATATCATGAATTATTATTATTATTTAAAAAAAATATTTACCTGTAGTTAAGCATTTTGTGTTTGTGTCATATCCTTGTGCACAGGTTAAAAAAGTTAATAAAAAAAATGGTCTGGGGCTTGTTTCAGAGAAGCATTTATTAAAGTATGGTACTTAGTACATAGTGTTAGACTTTTGAGATGCTAAGTAACCATGAAATTGCACTTTATTCCTGACTTGTATTACTGTAGTATAAACTTATTATTCCATGAAAAATCTGGTATGTACTCTACAGTAACAGGCACTGTAGTGCGTGGTGTCGCAGTGAAGTGAAACGTCAATGCACATTCGATAATGTGCACATTGATTAACAAAATATCCCTTTAGTGTTCCTCTAATCTAAGGGAAAAATAAATACCTGTAATGTTTGTGCAGTTATTATTCAAAAGAGGCCCTTATTTATTTACAGAAATTGGCTGTTTCCTTTACATCTGGAAAACTGTTGTTTTTCTTCTGATTTTAAAATCAGTTTTTCTACGCAGCATTTTGGCCACTCTGCGTGCTAGGGTCTTATTAAACTTGGTTTATGTGAAGCCCATTAATATCCGCAGAATAATCTATGCATGAACTATCGGTACCCAAAATATGATACTCTGTGATTACCATTTTACAAACCAGAGTGCATACTGTAGGGGTGTGGTGGTGGCACTGAATTGTAGAATTACTGTACAGACTTCTCAAGTTCGTAAAATGCATTTCAGTAACTATGTCATCAGATTTCTGTAGTAAATGAAAGATTTCCATAGCACCTAATCCTTGAGTGTAAGATATAAGTTGCTAAAAATTACAGATTTACATCTGTGGAAGGTCATACAAACTGGACAGGATTAAAATTTATTGGTCACTTTTCAGTACGATTGAACCCAACTTTCAAATTGGGTCCGTTCGTCCTGATGTGCGAATTTCACGGGACAGGATTTCCGTCGCAACGAGGTCTAACTATGTACTTGAGAAGTCTGGAATTAGCCCTAATTTTATTTGGGCTTTGTAAAATGAAGTGTCTTGTAAGGTGTCTAGCATATTGATCATTTCCTAACTGATTTGAGGTGGAAGTTTGAGGTGGAAGAACAGCCAGTACTGTACTTGAGTGTCTTGGATTCTCTACAAAAGAAGGAAGTGACCCTGTCGGATGTGCTAGGAGGAAGACAAAGACTTAAAATCCCTAACACACACACACATGCCACAAACAGTTGCAAAGTTCATTTACTGTAGATAATAATGGTTGCACTGTTGTGGTTTTGTTTTGTTATACCACCAGTAATTTGAATTATGAATAATAATGAAATATAAGTAATATTATTGTGTAGGTTTATGTGAGAAAATGAAAGCAGGTAAAAAAGGCTGTGTTATTGTTGTTTCCTTCCAACAATTTCATTTTATTGGCTTTACCCACTACAGTGGAAAAGCCATATTTTGTTTGTTTTTTTTTTTTTCTTCTGCATGCCAATAATTTTGCACAGGGATTTTCAAAATAAATACAACAATGGCATTCCACACCATGTCTGTTGTCTATGGTCTAACCTAGAACAAATGACAAACTTAAAAAAAAAAAATCAAATTGATCAGTTTTTGTTTGGTGGTTGTGGAATGCTCTTTAACCTATTAATTCTCCTGCTGTGAATTTCTAGACTAAGTTTAAATTTAAGTACATGCAGCCACTCCCTTATGTCAACAGCTACATAGTCTCTAATATCCCCTAATTTCAGTTAAATCGGAATCGCAATTGCCCTCTTCAAATTTGCATACAATTGCACATAAAATGAATTCAATAAACAACCAAAGATTAAGTTCCTAATGTGATTTGTTTCAAAATTCAATAAAGAACAGAATACAATGTTAGTTTATTATTTCAGATTTAAAAAAAATATGCTGTACTATTTATAAATAGGTGCTGTAGGGAAGAGTATGAATCAATAATGATAGCACTACATAGTAGCATATATTTTGAGACATGGTGATGCATTTTTTCAATATGTATTTAATTCTTGTTATTTAATCACTTTTTTTCTTTTTTGTAAGAACCATTATGTAAGGGAGTAGACTGGGCTTCAGTCCCCAATTTTGTCTTAATCAGTGAAAACTATTAAAACTATACTGTATATATTTTGGCACCAATAGCGTTAATATTACTTATTTGCCCATACTATACTTTTTCTGGGATTTCACATCCAAATTCAACAACATAACAAGTTTCTTGACATAAACCGATGCTGGTGGTGGTCTCTGAAGTTGGCTAATAATCAAATTAAAAATCAAGTCAATAAATTAGAGGCTTGTGTCAAGTCTGTGTGAGGGGGCTATGGCTTAAAGCTTTATTTAGGCGAGTCACATTAGCTTAGTCTTTTCCACAACTCAAATCATGTGATTCCATTTGTTGTACAGGTACCATTGTATTGTATTGAATTGTTTTGTGGAAGTAAATATCGAATGTTGTATAGAATATCATGACCAATTATTATGTAATAATTTAAAAGCTTTTCAACCTATTGTTGTATGTGCCACTATTTTTGTAACGTGTAGTAAGGCCTGATTGTCCTAAGCAGCATTCAAAGACTGTGGTAAAATGGTTGTTTGCAATATGTTGTATATCCAATTGGCTTGAGCTTTCAAAACTTTTCTTTGTTTAAACTTGCATTGTTTCACTTCTCATAATAGTTAACAATCTTAATTTTTATTAACTAAGTCTATGACAATTACTTATTCAAATTCCAGGTTTGACAACTACTCTGCGAATGTGATGGTTGATGGAAGACCAGTCAATTTGGGATTATGGGATACAGCAGGGCAAGAAGATTATGATAGGTTGCGACCTCTATCCTACCCACAGACCGTAAGTACAACATGAAATCTATTAATTGCATATTCTCGTGGTTTAACCTAGTAGCACCGAGAGAAGAGAACAGTTGGGGAAAGTGTGTCAATATTTTGTAAAGTTGTATAAGTTATGACTCTGAATGTGTCTGGTAATTTTATCTTCTTATTTTCATTTTAAATTTTGTAGGATGTTTTCCTCATCTGTTTCTCCTTGGTTAGCCCGTCATCTTACGAGAATGTGCGTACAAAATGGCATCCGGAGGTCACTCATCACTGCCCCAACACACCCACTATTCTTGTTGGTACCAAGATTGATTTGCGAGACGATCGTGTAACAATTGACAGGCTGAAGGAAAGGAGTCTCAGTCCAATCACGTATCCACAGGTAGGGATGCATGCACTAGATGCATTAGATATTCACAGGTTCCGCATACTCAAGTGCAAGTCCCACATACTCAAGTACAAGTTCCACATACTAATTCCCACATACTTAGTGTACATCCCAGGTAATAATGGACAAGTTCCACATAATGAAGTTCAAGTCCCAATTACCCAAGTCCAAGTCCCACATACTCTACTCGTTCAGTGCATGTCTCACCTACTTATGGACAAGTTTCACATAATGAAGTTCAAGTCCTAAATACTTGTGTGTAAGTCCCACATACTCACAATTCCCACATGTTCAATGCACGTCTCACCAACTCATGGACAAGTACCACATAATTAACTTCAAGTCCTAAAAACTCAAGTGCAAGTTCCTCATACTAACAATTCCCACATATTCATTGCACGCTTCACATACTCATGGACAAGTTAAATATAATAAAGTTCAATTCCCAAATACTCGTGTGTAAGTCCCACATACTCTATGTGCAAGTTCCACATACTCACAATTTCCACATATTCAGTGCACGTTCTAAATACTCATGGACAAGTTTCACATAATAAAGTTCACACAATCCCATTTCCCTGACCAAATTTTACTGTTGTGCCACTAAGACAACTTGATTTACTTTACACTCTTAACTTTTTCTGCAACAGGGACTCCAAATGCAGAAGGAAATTCGTGCAGTGAAATACCTAGAATGTTCAGCGCTTTCGCAGAAAGGTCTTAAGAACGTGTTTGATGAAGCGATTCGTGCAGTGCTTACCAAACCCAAACAGAAAAAGAAGAAATCTAACTGTCGAGTTCTCTAAACATCCCTGAATATCAGGACATTTTCTCATGTGTACTCATATTTTTATCTATGTTGTCACTGTCGAAGAAGATTGGTCATCTCTCTACTATAGTTATGATTTTATATTTGAAAATGTAAAAAAAAAATAGCACCACCAATTATTAGTATGAGATTTTTGAGTGTAGTATCATATGGGAGAATGCACCTCGAAATAGCATTATAAAATATTCCTGATTTATCAGTGGAGGTTGGCTAGTTCTGCTGGGTGCAGACGCTCGCATGGATTTTTATTAACAGCCAACAATTATATCATGTGGTACTACTAAGTTGTAACCACTATCTGTATCTCTTGCACAGTAATGCTTACATTTAAATAATTACTGCAATTTTGTATAATTACTCTAATGTGTGTGCCCTGTTGGGCCCATAGCTGGGAGGGATTTCATGGTTCAGGCAAGCCATCCATTTTCAGCAAACCCCCCTCTTTGATAGCAAACTCCACCTCTCCACACAAACTCAGGGTAAGGGAGGGATCAATTACTGATGCAGCAGAGCACACATAAAATAATAATATTTTCAAATAACTTCATATAGCTTCAAGTGTAGTATTATTTCAAATTTCATTTATTTTGAGCTAATAATGATTGTTTATCACCAGAATTACTATACTGTTATACTACTTATTATTATTATTATTATTATTATTATTATTATTATTATTGTTATTATTATTATTATTATTATTACTACTACTATTATTATTATTGTTATACTGTTATTATGTTATAGCTTAACATAAATGAAATTCGAAAATTCTCCGACTTTTGGGGCTTTGTTGCCGACCCCACTGAGGGTCTTAAGTGCGCCCCTGGACTCTTTACCCTGAACTCTCCCTTGAAAAAGCCGGTCTATGGGCCAGCCCGTAATATTTTCAGATATTATGGGATGTGCTACTTCAAAGTTTTCAGTGACTAGCAAGTTGTGTATCCACATTATACAGTTATTGTGGCAACGTAGAATAAACATTCTTCATGTCAAAAAAAGTGTGTGAAGTTGAGCAGAAAAAGATATTTTATTACTATCTATTAATACTCATATTGGACCATATTCAACAAGTTAATGTATAATCCTATTAAGAAGAACATAATACTACATGATTCTTTTTCTTTAAGGAAAGAAATCAGTGTTTTTATACTTCATACTAAGTTCACCTTTTTGGTACCAAACAGGCTTTTTTTTTTTAATTGTTTTAGGAGTCATCATATTGGCTGGTTATAAATATTTGATTCGAAACACTATTAAATTGAATTTTTTACATTAATTTTCAACACCAAGAAAAGGTTTAGAATTCATCTGTGTGCGTTAATTAATTGAAAATTTGAAAAAAAAAAAAATTGTATATATATTTTTGTTTTTAGAATTACTAATAGGTGGGAGAATATTTGTTACATAGCAGACAGCTTGTAATATAATTTAGCATGTAGAGGGCAGTATTTCAAGGACATTGTCGCAAAGTGAAATCTCGATATACTTTCAATATTAGTATTATAACCTTTTGCCCTTTTTCTATTGTTCAGTAATCTGGAAGCTAAGCTCTCCTTTTCTATCTACTGCATCATGGGAATTTAAGGGTAGTTCAGTGTAAAGGAACTTTGGAAATCTATCTAGTGATTTTTACAATGTTAAATTGTAAAGTTTGTTGGCAATGTAATTTGGCCATTCAAACATGTACAGTAGTTTGGGTGCAAATCTTCTGTCTATTTGCATATTTCTTAGGCAAATGCTTACCTACATTTATTTCGCTTCACCAGTGAGTGTAAATAGGTAATTGGTAGAGATTATGTTGTGTTGGTTTGTGGGCAACACAGCTGGTGGAACACATTACTGTACTGCTAGGATTACTTCCCAGGAGCAGGGATTTTTACACATGTGTTTTTGACATGGCAGGGGTAGATTTCAAGCTTGGTTAGAGTGGTTTTTTTCGCTGCTGCCAGAGGCAAGCACCCTTTTTCGTTACCCCTGGACCCGGTATTGCATGGTGTAATAATGTCAATAGTGACGTACCTAGTTGTTGTATTATCATAATTTGCGATTAATTATGGGCAAAGACTGGTGGTTAATCAAACATAGGTCTTTCAAATGGTGTACAGTCAATTTACATATATCCCATAATACAATATGGTACAAACATGGTCATGTGATCAACTGGCTGTAGGATGTAATATAACATGAATCAATAAATTCTATATTTTTTCCCCTTTTATTTCTTGGAGGTTTTAGTCACAAATTGAGTATCTTGTTAAAATAATAAATGAGTTATTGCAGTCTTTGAATTAAGTTCCTAGGCTTCAGAGTAGAACCAAAGTATAATCATGTTGAAATTTAAAAGTTAAAACAACTGATAACTTAATATTATTTTTCTTATCAATTCTAATAAACAGATTTACAAAATATGTAAATGAACTCAGAACCTCTGTCATGAGATATAAGCATAAAACTGATCAGAAACCCTGAAATCCTGTGTCTATTTTGTGACTACTTGCCTGAATGAACCGATATATGCCAATTTCCTTTAGGAACTCACCTAAAAAATAACTTAGTACATATTTTCATATGAAATATATCAAAATTCTACTGGTGTACAAGATACTCATTTAGTGATTACTTCTCACAAATGTATAAACTAAAGCATATTTAATAACAAAAAATTGAGATTTATACCTTAAACATTATACACAGTATAGAAAGCATTAGAAGTGTCAAATATCACTTCTGGTTGTGTTGAATATTAACTATTATGAGAATGAATCAAGTATTTACGTATTGTTCTGAATAATGGAAATTAATTCACCACTGCTTGACTGATTAAATATAGATAACACAAGCAATATATTTTTGTTTACAGACATAATAATTTTATTGGTTATTTTAAAACTTGAATTGGATACAAATTTGTTTTATACACCTTCCACTTTTGAGCCATTACATGTACCATCTTTTCTACAAATGCTAAAGTGATTTCTTCCACATAAATTAAGTTTGATATTTATGTTTTTTTTTTCTAATATATGAATTTTATACTGAAGATTTTAATTAGTATAATTTCTTTGTGTTTGATATTTTTTACTGATATTTTTGTTTAAATATATTTTAGTACAACAAATGTATTATTCTGATAAATGGCAATCATTTTTATCAAAAGTGTGGTAGGCTTAGATGATATAAAAATAGTTTCATCTGGTTTATCTTGCAAAAGTGAACCATCTAAATAATTCAGGGGTCCCAAGTTTTTGCGCAAGTCGCGGAATTCTCCCGGAAATCGGGACAGCCCCCGCACTTGCGCAACCAGACAACAATCTTCCGGAAATAACGCACCTCCAGCAAATTCGATAAATTATAATTATAATTATAATTGTCTTGCAGAAGTTGGTGATGATGGGTATATCACAATAAGCAGCAAAACAAAATTAGATGTACTAAGAAAGGTCATTTAAAGAGAGCCCCCGGAAATGACTTCTTCCAATTTGGGACCCCTGATAATTGTTTTTAGTTGTATCTTTGTTGTGCTTTGCCTTGTCATATGTATTTAGAAATATCATAACTTGTTTTTTGTTACTAAAAGGTTAATTGAAAATTAATGGCTTCCAAACCTAATACTATTATAATGAAATAAATAGATAAATACAAGTTATGTTTCAGGGGTTTTTTTTCTGTTAACTAGAGTGTACTAGTTTCTTCCAAAAGGTAGCCAATAAAAATGTAGTTCTTCTTTGAGTACAATACTACATTGAGGACAACCAACGGCTTAATGTCCCATCTGGAGGATAGATATCAAAGGACATCAATTTAGGCTCTGCACTGACATTAAGACATTTGGATAAGCAAACTCTGTCTGGCTATTTTCAATTCCCAATAACTGTCTTTGAATTTATTTTAAAACCTTTTTTTTTTCTGGGCAGTTGCTACAGCATTTTCACTGCAATCTTTGCACTGCGTAGCTGTCCCCAACGCAATCGGAAACGCTCCCTGATTTAACTGACCAATCAGCATCGCCAAAGAAGTCGGCGATAGCGTGTAACGATTTTTGCAGAAACCAGGTATATCTGTTATGTGTAGCCGTTGACTGATTGTATTTTATGTGGATAGTTGTAGCCTGTGATGGCTTTGCTGCGTCATGACGTTGAATGGAATCCTAATACTTGAACCTCTATTCCATCAAAGCACACTCCATGCCTCTTGCATGTTCAAAATCCTCTCTCCCAGCACTCTATGCCTTTTGTTTTTTGCAACCCCCCCTCTCAGGTTCCCCATGCTGTCATATGTCCTGATATTCTAGTAGAGTATAGTGCATACAGTATATACAGTGCTTCACATTCTTTCAATACACATTTGACACTGCAACACATTGGACACCAAGAACAACATAGAAGGAATTAACAATCTGAAGTTGAGAAATTACATTAATTATTAATTACGTTACAATGAAGGTGTATTAAATTAATGAATGAGACAAAATCTTCTGTAGAGCTTAGGAGCAACCCAGACTATTTTCTATCTCAGTGGCACATATTGCCTTAGTAGTCAAGCTAATCCGGCCCGAACATCTTATTTTTTAACCCAAGTTGTAGTTGGCGATTAAGATAGCCTACTTCCTAATCCCTGGGTTCAATAAAACCTGCAAAACCAAGACAGGACACACTCCATTCTCTGAGGGGGTGTAAAGGGCGTATTTCTTTTAAAAAAGGATCTAGTAAAGCTTATCAGAAAATTACCATGCTAATTAAAAAAAAAAAAAAAAAAGACTTCCATGCATATGTTACATAGTTGTGAACTTTATTCAGACTATGTGCATTGTTTTAATCACTACAGACATGTCAGGGTATAGTTACCGATTGAATTGAAGTACAATAATAAGGTTTAGGAACTAACAAGCTGGTGTTTACATTTGACCAAAATCCACGACTCTGAGGAATACATGTTGACTCCCACAACGTAAATAACTGTGCATGTGCAGGCTACTTTCATTAGTGATGTAACAAGTTTGGTTTTTGAAGTATAACAATTTTAGTTTTTTGCCTTATGGGGGTAGTATAACAATGTTGGTCAAGTGTAATTCACCAATGTAAACTATTATTACCAGTAGGCCTATTTTATATAAGGATTGTAAAGTTTATACTTATAATTATATAATAATGATCACATGTTCAAGGTTTATAAGGAGCACATTACATTAATAATAAACAAACCACAAAGCGAATCATTGTAGTATTAGATATGGGTAAAAATAACAGTATGACAATATAATTAACTATATAATGATAATCAATAGAATACAGAATGGTTATCTACGTTATTTTTTTTTTTCTTTTTCTTAATTTTTTAAAAAACTGATTCATTTTTTTCAACAACCTACAAATTGATTATACTGTTTGATCTGGTAAATTGTCATTGACATTTACTCGAAATATTTTAAAATAGTACACCATACCTGGTTAAATAAACTAGCACAAAGAAATTTATGATGATTATAATTGACCAAGAATCCTTTAAACAGGAACAAAATCAAGGTACCATTATTTTAAATTATTATACGATAAATAATACATTTTTTATATTACTTTATCAAGAAATTGATTTAAAAATGGACGCAACATTAAAATTGCAGATTTTCAAGAATACTTGAGGCCTTCCATCCTTAATTGAAAAATCAAGATCTGTGACAAGGCATTAACAAACACATACAAGGGAATAAACGCAGAATTTACATGCAACATTAAACTTATAAATTTTTAAGACTAATCAAGGCGTTCACTAATTGAGCCTTCCATAATTAATTGATTACAGTCAAGATTTGTGAAACAGCACACAATATAAATACAAATGAGGAAAGTATATCATTTCAGGCACACTAAATAATTGCTATATAATTAAGATACACCTAATTAATTATCATACTTAACATCTTGAGTAAGATTATTATAAAAATGTAAAAGAAATTTTTCTAGGTTGTAAGATACCTTTCAACAGAAGTCACTAAAAAAATGTGGCCTTCCATGTCAACTTGAATAACATGAACAGTTGTATTATTAAATTAGAGAGATAATATTAGGATTATCAGGCAGGTAACAATCTAATTTATCTGGAAATCTGACAAACTGTAATAGTCACGGTCAGCCTTGTACCATTGTTCATTATGACCAAATTTAGACACCCACATATACATGTCATTTGATTGGCTGGGATTAGCCTCGTCATATTTGTGATTGGCTGAAATTATCTTGTTTTAGATCTCCGTGTTGTGATTGACTGGAATTAGCCACACCCTCAAATCTTTGCCTTGTGATTAGTCTTGTTTTTCCACCCATAGATTACTGGCCTGTGATTGGCTGAGACTATTCTTGTTAACACACACCCATTGATCCTTAGATGTACTGTACCATACACATGACATAAACACATGGGGTTGTTACTTAATACAAAAGTATTCCACCAGTTTGTATCAACAAAATCTTAACCATATACAATATTTACACACCACTAAACTACATTGCCATTTAAAAAAATCCCTGACAATGAATTTAAGCACTCTTGTATCCAAACCATATTAGGAGTCTACATTACATTATGGCACACTAATTATTGTGGACATAACTACGTAGCATCTGGATTATAAAACACCAAAAACCCACGATGGTCATTAAATTCACATTTCCATATCACTTCATAGTACCATATGGAGTAATAGACTTTTAATTAAAAAATGCCTATGATGGCTTTCGTAGGAATAACAGAAATTTAATTGGACACATAATCAGTTTCCTGGGAAAGTATTCCATTTGCAATTGAATTTACCATGGTATCCATAGATAGGGCTGGTTATTTGCCTAAGGCCCTGTCCACACTATCAAAATTTATTTGACAAAAAAACATGTGGCATGCTTAAATATGATGTGATGTCATCCTGACCATATATAGGCACATCATGACTATATATGGGCACATCATGACTATATATGGGCATACAAGAGTTTTTTGTCAAAGAAAATTTGATAATCTGGACAGAGCTTAAGCCTGGTTTCCTTAAAATCGCTACACTGTGACTCCAATCGACCGACCAATCAGCATCACCGTAAACTGTCGACGATAGTGTGTAGCGATTGTATGGAAACCAAACCTTAAGGACGCAGCTAACTGATAAGTCTCAGACCCAAAGTAACTAAAATATGCAAATGTGTATTCAAATCATATCCATTTATGTGGTCCTTAAAGATAACCTTATGACTACAATGTACGCCTAACTACATGTGACAGAAGAGCAATAGGTATTACAACTATTGATTAATTTATACAGAGCCCTCTCTTGATTACATACACTTTATTAGTCTAAAAAATCCAGAAGGATAATAATATTGGCCAACTAATCTGTGGCTGGACTCATTCATGTGACATGACATATGCAATCCATTTAGCTAAGTTGAAATATATGTAATAATAGTATAGAATAGGGAAATATTTACACAAAATTTTCACAGCACAAAAGAGCAAACTAAAGAGGGAGCTCTTTTCCTACAGCACTAATGGTTTCTGTTACTTTACAATTAATTATTACTGTACTAATAATCTTTGGGATAATTGATAACAATTCAAAAATAAAACAGAATAAAATATTAAATGCACACCCCCTCATGATGTGGGACATACCAAGGCCTAACATCATTAGGGGTTACTATCATTGCCTATTAGTATTACCTCTATATGAGGGTGGTGTTTATGCACTAGTACAATCAATTTGTTACACATGCTGCATTGAGTTTAGTAAATAATTGACAATTGGGCTCTCAACGTCAGGCCAAATCAAACCAATATCTACACCATGATTTGTTTTCCTAAGCCTAGCTTGATAATTAGTATGAAACCTAATGTAACAGGGGTCTTATAGTGTTTATCCAGGCCATAAACCTTCTTTTATTACAACTTGTACATTACTTTCTACACAACAGCACCAGTTCATAGGGCTAAGCTCAACCTTAAGTGTGAGACAATACTCACTTTAAGTACAGGGGTTTGATCTAAACCTGCTTCCATTTAAGGTACTGATGGACGTTGATGAACCTTTAAGTTCTCTATAAATTCGGCATAGGTATCACCTAATCACTTCCCAAACCATTTGAACCTTAATATCAAAACCCAATGATAATTTTAAACAGCAGCATATCATTAATCAAACCTTTGGCTGTAAAATTCCAGTTTTTAATTAGCAAGATGTATAATAATAAATTTTTAACTACAATAATGAAAATAAAAATAAGCCAATACAGAATATATTACAGTATGCATACAAGTTTTATGATACCTAAACAAGGAACTTGGTCAATCATCGAGGTATTAATTTTTAACATCACAATTTGGGAGTATACTGCATACACCAAGATCATTAAAAACCAGAACGTACACTCTTCAGCATAATGCTATTTCGTATTTAGTTTTTGAGAGTTTTCTCTGATGACATATGACCTGGTACTTGGTGTATGATTGGCTATTAAATTATTTGTAGGAGTATGGAAGAAAAAACCCAGTCTGTTTCTTCTCTGCATTTCGATTATCAGTAGATGAGAACATGACATGTGATAATTCACAATAGATGACACTTTGGACTCTTTTTCTTCGGCATCTTAGGGGGGCATAGGACGGCACGAATTGCTTCATCGAACACGGTCTTCAGACCTTTTTGTGTCAGCGCTGAACATTCAAGGTACTTCATGGCGGTTATCTCTTTGGCCATTTGCAAACCCTATGAAAATACAAACAAAATACATACAGTTACTGATATGTACAACTGAAAAAATCGTAAGAATAGGCACCACTAATGTGACCAGAAATACAAACAGTAAATATGCCATTACATTATGTACAACAATCTCCCACAGTCCTTCCCCTGTCAAACCAGATGTCCTCAATTGTCACAATTTTAGATTGTAATATATATCATGTGTTGGATTTGTATTAAATAAATAGAACCTCCTGTAGTGAAATATATGTAAGATAATTTGGATTTTGCTTTCGTATTCTTTGTTGTTGCACTTTGATGTTTTTCTTTAGTGGCCTTGTTAGGTGTTACTTACCTGTGGAAATGTAATAGGTTGTAGATTTCTCTCTCGTAACCTCTCCAACGTGTCTTTGTCATCTCGGAGATCAAGCTTTGTACCGACAAGAATAATTGGTGTCTGTGGGCAATGATGCCTGACCTCAGGATACCACTGAAAAATTGAATACAATAACGATAATTATATTAATTATAAAAGTACAGTATTAATACAGGGGTCCCAAGGTGTCTCCCGGAAAATAGGAAATCAAGCAAGCAAGCACCTTAAGGGAAATAACACATCTTCCAAAAATTCATAATATTTGCTTGTTTTACTACGTTAATAACAATTGTCTCAGGGAAGTCAGTGACAATGGATTATCACCGTTATCACCAATTTATTTACGCAGACCTTCCAGAAGCAACTTCTTCCAACTTGGAACCCCTGTCAATGTGCAATCAAAGAGTATAAACAGAACAAGAGAGCATATTCCCGTTTTTGAATATGTCACTCCCCTATTTATGGTGGAAGTCACCATCCTATGTGGGAGTGCGCTCACTATGTATGAATTCACATGTAGTGCGCCCGCTTCGATGGTATGAAGATACAGAAAAATAAAGAAATCAACCGCCCTCTACAAAAGACTTGCATCATGTGGAAAACAGATAAACAGACAAACAAACCATTCGTGGTGCAGTAGTGGGTAATCTATTGGCAACGGGTGTTCTACATTGTCTGCATATGGTGTATCGTTTGTTTACACACTCTATGAGCATACTTGGCACTCTAGTTCTATTTACACATGTGCACATGATTACATGGTTCACAGCGGTAATATAATAACATAAAATAAGATAACTATATTGTTCATCATAGCATGTTGGAAATTCAAGGTCCATTTGGCGTACAAAATACAAAAAACATATTAAATACTTTAATATCAAATTAGGATGGTAAAATACTTAAGATTATTATAACACACTTTTAATTTAAAATAATAATAAACAATATAAAAAAAACTCCAGTAACTATCAAACATATTTTCACTGGGTTCTATTGCTTAAATAATTAATAAGTCTGCATTTTGAAATATTAATAAAAATGTAATAATGTACAAACTGCATTCTATTGGAAGTCACAAGGACATGAAGATTGAGAGAGAAAGTATTTGATATGTATTTGTTACAGTACAATAGCTTAATAGATTTCAGGCATTGCAAGATTTAATAATTTAATAACTGTCTTCTTTTAACAGGAATCGGTTAACAAGGCCAAGAATCCTTAATGAAAGTGCGCATCACTTGGCAAATGTAATATTCCTTCCATGGTGTCATGCTGTGTGCTGGTAAATGTGTTATTGGAGTTTAATTAAAAAAAACGTAATAAACATTTTACCCTGAAGAAGAAATTGAGTGGAAAAGACAAGTTTATGTAGTGACAAGACTTAATGAATGATCCCCAATGCAGCTAAATTAAAATTTTAACCCTCTGCACTTTTTACCCATTCCTGTTTTACTGGTATTTTAAATAATTTTGAATGGTTTTAAAAAATCACTGTATATTTTATTGAAATATGTTTTTAGCTTTTTCTTTTGTATATGTTTTCCAATTTATGTCTGTGGTTTATAGTTTTATTGTGTTTCAAATAAAGTTTTTATTATTATTATTATTATTATTAATATTATTATTATTATTATTATTATTATTAGAGCAAAGCATAGTAAACAGAATAGTATTTAAGAATTAATTGATTTTTCAAATTTCTAATTATTTCTATTTATGCAATGTTCTCATTCCTGCCAAATATAGTTTTCAGGAGACATTTTTTTAACCACAAAATTAATAAATAATAAATAAATAATAAATACACAAACTTTTGAGTAAATGCAATAAACATATTGTATAAAGATTACCTTGGCTCGGACATTTTCAAATGAGGCTGGACTAATGAGTGAAAAGCAGATAAGAAAAACATCCTGAAAAACAAAGAGAAATACTATTATAATTAAATTCAATGCTGCGACATAAAATACCATAGAATATTTTCTGGATAAGAGAAAACAAAGCTGAACTGTCTAATAATTCTCCACTGGATATATGTGGTAGAGATTGATGGTTTGGGTGCTGTAGAGTACAGTTGATCATTATGTATCTTCAGATACTTGTCTTCTTAGGGTAGACCATCACATAACATGTGATTATTTTCATCAAATAGGAAGTCAGTACTTGAAAGACCTAAAGGATTTTTAGCAATTTATGATGTTTTGATTCAGTTACAGTTACTTACAGTTTGAGGGTAAGATAGAGGGCGCAATCTGTCGTAATCTTCTTGACCGGCAGTATCCCATAATCCTAGATTCACTGGTTTACCATCAACCATTACATTTGCTGAATAGTTATCAAAACTAAATGAGAAATAGAGTAAAATTAAATGAATTATAAAAGTAAACAGTCGATAGCATTTAAACTCAACACAAGCTATTAATTGTAATTTAATTTAATGTTATTCTTATTGTTAATTCAAATATTTCAATGTAGAGTATTGTTATGAATGGTGTGAAAATTGTGGTAATATTTGTAATGTAAAGTACAGTGTTGTTGAATTGTTAAAAAAAAATCTTACACTGTTGGTATATATTCGCCAGGGAATGCATTCGTTGTGTAGCTGATTAGGAGGCAGGTTTTACCAACCGCACTGAAACAAAACAGAGTTGTCAGTTAATGTGTGTGTATCCAATATATAACAATCTTTTAGTACTGCACTTGTGTAGATACACTCTATTCTGTGGTGGTGGAATTCCTCTGTAAAATGGAATGCGTTAAAAAAATTTCTTCTCTAAAAATGGAATGTGTTATTGGTTCATCACAAGTTCGCATTCTAACTACCCATCCAACCTATCAGTTATTTGGTGCTTGGACCTAGTTTTGACAAATGGCCAATTGCTGATAGTAGTTGTCGATAATGGACTATGTTTAGAGTAAGTTTGACCTTGTTTCTGTAGTATATTCATGCTATCAGAAGCCTATTTTTTTATACAGTAGAGTACAGCTTTCTGAAGCTTTTGTAGTAAAGAATGCTCCACATAAACCAGAAGATAAAATATCTCTAATATCATTTTTTACTTAGTTGCCAAAATCATATACACCAAATACTTTATAAAATTATTATTCAAATAGTATTATATAAATTCTATAATTGCTTTTATTAAATATTTACATTTTTACAAAATTATAGTATGTTTACTGGTGCCATATATAATCATGATGTCCCTGTAGTTTGTACTGTATGCAAAGTGCATCACAACCATTTACACCTGCTTCTCACCTGGGTTTATGATTCAATACAATTACCCATAGATTTGGTTCCAATTAATTTTTATATCAGGTTAACAATGTTCTGCTCTAATGCCCAGGCATAGTTACTTAATTGTAGAACATAATAAGAAGTTGTCAAAAATGACCTTATAACCCTCACACAAAGCAATTTGAAACAATATATAACAGTCTATATTTTTTTCATTCATTCATGTACTGTACTGTATGAATTTTCTAGCCTATAATGAGTTGAATAAAGGAGCCCTTCTTGATGCAAACTTTACAAATAAGGCCTTACATATGGTACATACTATAGAGCAGGGGTGTCCGTAGAAATTGGTCGGATGGAAAAAGGAAATTTTTGATTTAACACCGAGGGCCGCACCCAAACTTTGATGCTTCCAGTGAGCTTCCAAAAACTTCCAAGCACTGCTTTTATACCACTTCCTTCTCAGTTTTAATGTTACTTTTTATATATGATCGGTGTCGGGCGGTAAAAAACAAGGTTTTCTAGCTTGGTGGGCTGCACACATAGGTTTTTAATTCATATTCGTAGGAAACAAACAAATTGCTTTCGGGCCACACTTTTCCCACATGTACTATAGAGAATTCCATATTTTGTTAGATTGTGCTCCTCAATTAATCATTTAGCCCATATTATTTTCGCACTTTACATTACTCCATACAAAAGTTTACAACATTCTCTGCAATTGCTTTCACATCCCAAAAATTCAAACAATCTTAGTTCCCTATTATATTAAAATTAAGGTGAGAATTATAGCTCGTCTCATGGAGTTATAATTATTTTAATTTTAAGTTTAATTTTATAACTCCATGCTCGTCTGAGCCCACCTCAGTCTTTCACTTTAGTGGTTCAAGTACTATTTTCCATCATTATCTTTTACTTTGAGTGCTAAGCCAGCAATTAGGCTTGCTTAGGACTCTGCATGTGTTTGTGGCTAAATACTGTACTCTTGCCCTTGACATCTACACTACAGATCCCATCACAGCATGATGAACCTGTTTCACATAAACACAGACCCATACATAGGGTCTGTGACATAAACAAGTGTGTAGCCCACTACAGTATGGTACTACTCTGTGGCATACTGATGTCAATTCACACAACCTGAGTACTTACAGCACTGTAGCTCCAAGTTGGACCAAATTCTGACCACTTGAAGCATACTGCTACAAAAAGGACTATTTAGCAAATGGTTTTGCTTAAAACATCCAGACGGAGGAGAAAATAAAAATAAAACTTTATTGTAAATGTAAACAGTGTAGTAATGGGATGAATAGGAAGAATACAACTTATTTTTTGAGATTTTAAGGCAGAAGTGGGCATAATAAAAATAAAGAAAAAACTTTTATTATTATTCCAAATTTTTTGTGGAGGCGGGTGAGCTAATTGGCCAAAAATAAAATTTTATTTTTATTAGAAATTATAATTATTAGCAGGTGGTGGGTTTGCTAAACAAGGTATAAAAAAGTCTAGTCTAATTGGATGAAAAAAAAAGAAAGTGAATTGTACTTCCATAACATAATTATTGAAAGAAATCATACAGTACATACAAATATTCACACTCTGTATGCTTTTTCTATATCTCATATTCTGCCATTAGTGTTTTCATAGTTTTATATATCTATCATGCTATTTTATTATTATATGTCATCTGATTACAGTCCTTGATTTTACTATATGATGTTCAGACACTATATAACTACAGTTCTATATTTATACCTTTATATTTGTACTATGCTTTTACTAATATATTAGTACTGTATATCACTATATGATGCCCAGACTTCAGATACTGTACTACGGTTATTTTTACTACATATATTAGTTACTATATATTATATTCACTGACTTTGATAATACTTCTGACCCCTGACCTGTCTTTTCATTTACATTTGTATACTGTTTATTGCTTATGCTTTAGCCCTTTTGTCTTAATTGTATGCCTGAATAAATTAACTTGCTTAGGTTTATCCACCAAGTTTATGTTGACTTCACATTCACCTGAAGAAGTACACTGTGTGCATGAAAGCTTGTGTACTGTCATAAAAGTACTGAATATCCTGAGTTTTATTTTCTATTATACAAATGTTAATTAGATGATCAAAAAATGTGGAATTGGCTATGTAGGCAAAGATAATCAAGCCACAATATGACCAACAAATATTTAGTAGAGTAAATAATATGGGCAATAGAATTTACATTTCTGGTCACAAATGTAAAATGTAGCATTTACATATTTTGTTGGTTAAGTTCATGATACTTTGTACCCTATTTGTTTTATTTCGTATTAATCAACTCTTTACATTATGACAAACAAGGAAGAAAAATATATTTACTATTGTAATGAATTTGAACTCAATGTGAGGTGCATTGTACTACAGATTACAAAACAATGTTGTCATATAAACACCATAGTAACTTGACCTTTTGGGTCTAGTCCAAGGTTTAGTCTGTATTCTTTCACATTTAAAATTTCCACAATATAAGCCTATCATACTTTATATTCCTTGAATTTTTGAAGGTTAATTATTTGAAGAAAATTTAAAAGATAATGGAATAAAACATGTTTTTGACTATATTATTTTGAATTCAATTCAAGTAAAATCCTTTTTCCACTTGCTTGGCAGTCATTTTCAAAGAACTCATTAATATTATGAGTTAAATCTTTTCCATGTGTGTAGATAGCAGAATTAGCCAATGTCCTTGAATTAACTACGTAGTACGCTGGAAATACCAAAATAAGTGGGCCCAACTCTCATTTTATGGACATTTTTTTGTAAATTTACCAAACAGATGGAAAAATTGATTGATTTAATGTAATAAAAGTTACAGTAATTTTGATTGTCAACATTTGTTGAATGTGAGCCTCTCAAAGTCGGTAATTTCTCTGCTTCAACAGTGTAATTTGAGTAGTCTAGTACACAAACTTGTGATGTGATTGTGGACCCTTTTGGTTCTTCCCGGCTTGGCTTGCTTGTTTGTTTTGTGCTTTGTTTTGCCTGTTCCTGAATAATTTCTGAAGGTTTTTTTTTTTTGTTATTTAAGATTAGTTTTATTATGTAAGTTTGAATATAATATTTAAGATTAGTCCGGGAGCCTCTTTGATTCTCGGTACTTGTTTGTACAATACTAGTTAAGAAAACAAGTGAATAAAGTGAATAAGAATAAAAATTAAGTCATATCAACATAATATCAAAGCTCAGAGTGAAAAAAAAAGTTAAAATTGTAAACTAACTGACCCTTCATTACTTGAGTTGTTCTATGGATGGTCATAGTTCCTAATATGGCTCTCCCATTCCATATTAAGAACTATAGTCAAAGCGAAGTCAAAAATCACTAAAAAACTCCTGCACATAAATGTTGACTGCATTGTTTTTAAAGAGGATTTAGAAAAGATTAGAATAACAATTGAATTGGACAATGGTTTATGTGTAGGTTGGTAGGTAGTTGTCAAGACACTTACTATTATTGTATCTGTTCAGTATAAAACATACACTTAACCTTACAATTACTGTAGGCCTAGTTTGTTAGAATTTTATTTAGTACAGTATATGCATTTATGCATACAAAAACTATAGTCAGCCTCCTGAAAGTGTTGTTCCACTCCTGAGCTGTTTTGCTCTCGGTCAGATTGAAAAATGTTATGGTGATGTATTATAGTAACAAAAAAACAACAACAACAATAATAATAATAATAATAATAATAATAATAATAATAATAATAATAATAGTAGTATTAATTTATCTTGCTGGTGATTTTGATTGATCATAATCAAATATAAAAGTATAATACATACTCCAAGTACTGAAATGCACGCCATCGTGTTGGAATTCAATATTTCAACATTAATTATGTCATTATATCAGAAATGATGATCATCAAATTTTTAATACTTGGAGTAGGTATTATAATTTCTCATCTCAGATTAATCCGTGCACCTTTCGGTTTTGGAAAATAATCAAATATCATTATTTATTATTTACAGTATTAATCATTGTTAAATACTAATATTAATTTGTATTATAGTATACATATTAGTTGTTACTACATTTACTATTATTATCAATATTATTAATAGTCCAGGCCTAACCTAGGCCTATTTTTTTGGTTAAGAATAATAAATAAAATAAATAAATATGTACTGTAGGTAGAGCATATTAATAAATACCATGAGCAAAAGGGAATTAGGCCTACATGCATCTCACACACACTGAACTAGGCCTACTAGGCTAGAGCCAGGCCTAGTATCCTAGTAGTAGGACTAAGCCTAGGCCTAGCTAGGCAGTATAGGGCTAAACTAGCCTCCTCAATCTATCACACAGGTCTAGCTAAGGGCCTTTCTTGGCACTGGCAGCCCACGACTAGGCCTACGGCTATTCTTCAGTCTGCCCACCTCTTGCCTAGCCTAGGCCAGCCTCTCTAAATAAAAAGAGGCCTACTTACGGTGGGGGCTTACTTTTTTAGACAAGTCTAAGAGGCTAAAAATACTAATTCATGTATAACTACATTGTCCATACGAATATTAACGCTAAAAAAAGGCTATAATGAAAACAAAATTCTACCCTAGCCCCGTGCCCAGTCGCAAATTGACACACACACGTAGGCCTACAGTATGCTAGACCCCGCTCATCGACAAGATTACCGCGATCATGTCGTCGGTGAGACTATTTGAAGATTGAAACACTTACCCATCGCCAACCACAACGCATTTTATTGCCTGCATCATAGAGAGTTTGTAAAGTGAATATTGTCTTAAGAATATTGTAGCTATATAGATCCAAATGGGCGTTTTCTTATCTAACTTAAATATTACTTTTGGCCGGAGGTTGAGTCACACACATCAACAGAAACTTCATCCGATTTTTTCTCTATTTCAAAAGGTGTACAGGTTGTAAAGAGTATTTGCCCAAATTATTTACTTCGAAATTTACAGGCTGCCCTCTTTATATCACAGCGTGACGACTCACTTCTAAAAATAACATTTCCTGTCTATTTGTTATCTATATAAAACCATAGTATCGAAAATAGATTTCATCCATTCAGGAAATATATCAATGTTAATCCAATGCTGTAAGCATTTCCTACTATATCCAATTATATTATCCTGTAAATTGAGTCTGCCATTGGGATCAAATCAGTAAACCTACTACCTGGTTATCTGTCATTTGCAGATTTAGAAATATAATATTCAATATAGAGGAACGTATGAATGCGAAACCGGGACCTTTTGCTATCAATGTGGATGCCATAACAAACCGGCCACTGAGGTTTCTTTCGGAGTTTGAAAATGTGCGAATGCGAAAATGCCATAACCGTGATTCGAACCGGGACTTTCTGCTGTTATGATGCAGATGACATATCCAACCGGTCATGATTGAGGCTTTCGTTGGAAGTTCGAATCCAATTGGAGGCAATTTTTTATGCCTCTTCTTAGCATCTTAACAAGAGACAAAGCTCTTAGAAGTGATAGGTGGGCCAAATCCAGGGCAGTGGCGCCAGCGGGTGGGCGGGGGTCAGGATCCTCGTCGGGGGGAGTTCCCCCACCCCCGGCCGTCGGGGAGAAAAACCACAATTCGTTGGTGAGAAAAAAATCTATAGGGGATGTCACTTTCTACATATTAGTAGTCCCCAAAACCGAATAATAGGCCTAAACCTTTAAAACCCCTGAATTGTCATATTTTTCGGGGCTTCAGCCGAACACTTTCGAGAGATTTTGAGAGCGGCGCCCGACCATACCTACTTTTTCCGTCAGGATCGGTCCCCCTCCCCCGTCGGGGACATTGGACTCCCCGTAGGGCAAATCCTGCCCCCCACCCCCCACCACTGGTCAAATCAGTGGTCCACTGTAACAAAAAGTAAACATAAAATATTCTGTAAGATATAGGGGCCTATGTATAAATAAACAAAAAAAAAAGAACGATGTAGTTTTCTGTATTCATTCTGTATACAAGGGCATGGCTGGGCATTGCTGTATAACACATGATGGAACCGTGTATTTCGAAAGGAGGGGGGGGGGGTTAGAATATAGGCATTGCCTCAGGTTGGAGGAAAGGCATTTATCCAGCATAGACAGGCGTATGACTACACATAGGTTATAGAGAAGAATTTCCATTTTGTTGTTGTTAGTGTGCATGGGCTTTGGGGGGGGGGGGTTGTTGAAAAAAAAGGGTTCTTTTGAAAAGGGGGTTTCTAGAACCCCCAAAAATCCCTGGGTACGGGCTTGCGATTTGAAAAAAAAAATCACCCATCGGGAATTGAACCCACCATCTTCCCAGGGGCGCCAAGCGACCTATCCGAAGTGTCAATCAAACTTAACAACTGGCCAATCAGAACAGCGCCAGGAATACGCGCGTGTGTTTCCACAAGGCTTGCGTTAGTTTACACTGTCGTTTTGTGGGACCTTAGAGCAACAATATCCAAGAGGCGGGGATTAGCAGAAAGGTCCAAAGAATTAATTTAAATATTGCGAGATGTATGATGCAGTTTTATTAAACTAAATTCAAACAGTAGTAGCAAATTACGAAATGTATGACAAAAAGATCGCGTAGACTAATTACCTCTCTGGCAACTTTTAAATGTGGGCGTCCCACAAAAAAAAAAAAAAAAAACAAGAAACAAAAAAACAATTGTAGTTCATAGTTCAAAGTGGGAGGACCGCGGCGCCGAGAAGGCTCGGATCGTAGGTATTCTGTAAACAACGTCGCAATTTTTGTGTAAATAAAAGAAAGAAGAACGCACAAGACATTTTTAAATGTGAGTAGTGTACTGTATATAATTTCTAACATATCGAAAACGTGTTTAGGCTTAGCATAGTGATGTATTGTATCTATGATTGACATTATTCGCTAGGCCTATCCGCCCGCCAGTTATTAATTACGCCTAGCTAGGCCTAGTGTACAGCGAGATTCCGATTGGCTGGCCTGCTGAGTGAGCAAGGCAGGCAGGCCTAGCTCTAGCTAGCTAAATTCGTCAATCGGCCTAGCCTATACAGTGCTAGTAGAGGCTTTCGTACTCATAGAACCTAGAGGCCCAGCCAGCCTAGTAGTAGCAGCAGCTAGTAGTGGGTTGAATGAAGCCTCAGCTCCAGCTAGGCTAGGCCTAGGCCTACTACAGTAGGCGTTAGTGGTAGAAAGAAGGAATGGATAGGCTAGATCATCACAACAAACGGAACAGGATTCCGGTTGGGGGCGGTAAAGGGACCCTGGGCCTGGCCCCTGTCAAGGAAAACCTGAACCCCTGTCAGTGTCACGGAAGTTATACGACAGTTTCGGCCGCGAAAAAGCTTGGCTGAAAACAAGTTTGGCCACGGAAAATTAATTATGGCAATTGGATTCATTGAAGAATCACTAATAATAAATATCCTACTGATATTTATAATATAAATATGCGCACTGACTTAAAAAGTAATAAAAATAGAAAGACTGGGAAAGGCAAACAACACGTTTTATTTCAATTCACCTACCAAGACCCAAGGGAGGCCTAGACCAGACTTAACAAGAAACAAGCGTAATTCCAAGTTAGTTTCCTCACTGGTAGTAACTGATACGATAAGCCTATTTATTTGTAAAGTGAAGATAGTGTATATTTTAATAATAAGACAAACAAAACATTTAATTTCTGATTTTCTGAATGTTTAATTCTCATGACCGAAATGAATGGCACTCTCAGGGAAGATTTCAGTTATTTTTGCTGGGGAATGCTTGCAGTCTGTAGAACAGTTAACAGACTTTCCATCCTTCAGAAGGCAAGGAGGGATCTTCTGCCCCTGTCGATCGACGACCTCCTGCCACGCAAACGTCAGACAAGGCACTCACACAGTAACTCTTATCAAACCATAACGGCCAACAAAGACTTTCTAATTCTCCTTCCTGCCAAGGACAGTGTCCAACAGGAAGAACTTACCCTACCCTATCACAACGATAAGCAACGAAAAATGCAAAACTAAAGCAACTAACCATCTCAAGCAATAAGAATTACTGTACACGCACACCTATCTTTCGACAGATACAGATACTGTTGAACGTATTTTTACAGTCTGAAAATGCCATTTCTGGACATACTGAACATAATACAGAAGTGCCTATTCTTAAAATTTTCTCCAAACATGTTGGGGAATTAGTGAACTACGACCTCTTTTTGGGAATATGAGACCCCCTGTAGGACGTCTTACTGAACTGAATCCTGTTTGCTATTAGCTATTTGGTTTTTATGTGTGCAATAATGACACTAAAGTTTTAGGCAAATAAAAAAACAACACAACAGCTGGTGCTACTCCCATGCCAACTGCATTTTATAGTATATAAGTAATGTCAATTAATGTTTATGAGTGCAGTAGTATAGATTATTATGATAAGGTAAAAAATGAATGATCTGTTCAATGAGGTGGAGATGAGATGAATGGAAATATTTTATTTTTCACCAAATAACGATGTTGTATCCCATTGTTAGAATAGGAGGAACCTTCATATAGTAGTATACAATGTTATATTATTGTCATTTGGTTGGTGGTTTATGTAGATAGTGGAGTTGCAGAATTAGTCCCATTGTCTACCAAGCAGTTTTTGTTTTCCTAATTATAGCTGAGCATTGGCTAAGTACAGTAGTAAAATACTTTCCTCTAGCTAGCAGTCGTGGACTTGGGTTCAAAGGCTAAGGTAAGGGTAAAGGTAGGGGAATAACCCATAACTTTCAGTGTCATTGTGCTGAATTGCGTATGGGCATGGTCAGTGACTACCTAGCCGCTGTAAAGAGGCGCTTATAGTAGCTACATGCTCGCATTATTCCACAGCAACAGGGGCTGAAATGAACCATAGCATCAGGGTAATCCCATACTCTTCCGAAAGATGCAAAGTGTTCTTTACAAGATTCTTTTATTGTCACTTTTAAATTCACAAGTAAAATTAGTTTTCCTGATGCTTATACAAATAATTAATATTATGATATTATGAGTCAGATCTGTACACTGGACCTCCATTTTCAGTCTTTGTACGAGAAAACGTGGTTCTATCAATCAAACCCTGAGCTAGTTAGCTGTAGTTAGCGGTGCCCCAGCCTTTACCCCTTGGTCACTCGACTCGCCAGTTCAAGACTGGCTGGGGAGATTTTTGTTTGGTCTATTGCTAAGCTCCACAATTATCTCTCACAGTAGAGTTCTGGCAGGTTTGAGAACCTTGTATCTATTTGTTTCTGTTACATGTTGTAGGTTATTGGAAGTTGAATTTTGTTGTGCGGTTGATGAAGGTCCCCAAGGGGCCAGCCCAAAATGTTCATTTTCCGACAAATTAATATCAACAAATAAAGTCTTAATATTAAATTATTTCATATTTTAAGTTGAATACAACCTTTCTGCAAATGCTTATCACATTTGCCTATTACCTTCCCTTTCTGCAACTTATCACACTTGTCTATTATCTTCAACATTACCATTGTAGGCATGTAACTTATTAATAGCTATGTTATACATCAATTAATAATTAAAGATTTTGTTTTACAATAAATGAAATTTTCAATTTATAGTGGTTTTTACTGGTTCACAATTATCAATTCTTACTGGTATGTGGCTTCTTCCTTATTTGTAGCTTACTGATAGCAAGTAGCTTGTATTTATACTGGATATGGGAGACTAGTTTGGATTCAAGATGGAGGACTTGTTAGAACTTCCAGCTGTGTTGACAGTAGCAACACTGGTGGTGTTGATTATTGTGTTGTTTGGTTGTGGACGGTGTTTCAGATTTTTGTTTCCGGTAAGATGTACTTAATGTGAATGCACTCATACACTGTATTTTTAATGCCTCATTTTATGCAATACCTTGATAAAGAGTGTCCTAATGTGAAAAACAAAAGGTTTATAAAATATATAAATGTATATTCAGTAGGCCTATGGTATTTTTCTTGGCTTTATGTTCCATAGCAGGAGCACAAACTGGTATGCTTCTTCAGTGCCGGTGCTATGGGTGGGTGGGGGTGTGGGTAGGTAGCATATCTACAATTCAAATCGATTAAATAAGCCTCTGAAACCCCTAAATTGTTATATTTCTTCCGGGGCTTGCCCCTGGACCACTTTTGAGACACTTTGAGCAACGTCTGACCACGCCCGCTTCAGCCCCGTTGGGCAAATCAAAATTTTCTTTGACAAAAACATGTGACATGTCTAAATATGGTCATGATGACATCACATCATGACTATATATAGGCACATCATTACTATATATGGGCATATAAGTTTTTTTGTCAAAGAAAATTTGATAGTGTGGACAGAGCTTTAGGCATGTCACATGTTTTTGTCAAATAAAATTTGATAGTCTGAACTGGGCATTACATTCATGAATCATACCAATGCTAACGTCTTATTTTGCTTATTCTATTCTATAGAAACCAGATGAACTAGGCATAGTCCATCAAGACGAGTCTGGAATTGAAAATAATGACAACTTTGGAGATTTCAGACCGCCATCTCAAAATACACCATACAACGATCCGGTAGATGTTGAGCCCTTGCCGGATGCTAGTCATCTACGTTTAGGTCAGCATGTCTCCAGCTTGTCACCGGCCCAGAGCGGTCCTTCTTTAGCGCAGGAAAATATTAAGTTCCTGAATGACCCCTCAATGCAGTTCCCACGTACACAGCTTAGTTATGTTGATGAGCTGGGAAATGGCTGGTTTGGAAAGGTATAGTAAATAATAATGTTGCAGTTATTACCCCCTTAGCGTTGCGGCGTTCCTACCAATCCTTTTACCACTATTCACAAGAATATTCATGTCGAGTTTTTAGACCTAAATGAGTATGAACTTGTGAACAGACACGATAAGAAGAAGACCCCTAACTTTTGAGTAATTTTCTTCTAAAATTATCCACTCATTGCTCTGTTATAACTCCTAGGTTACAAATATTTCATAATTCCAGAGGTTTAGAGAAACATTGTCCATGTTTAAGCCCTCTAGCTTTAAGACAAAGAGAGCAGCGTAGCAAAGGATAACAATGGACCTGCAGAGTCTAGCTACCACCAGTTTAACTGACTAAGCTAAGCTGTTTGTTGATTTTTTATGTCAATTAATTACTACCAAATATTCTGTCCTCAGAAGGGTTAAAACATTTTGTTAACAAAATTACTACAGTGTTTTTCAGACTTTATCCTCTCTCTCTCTCTAATTTGACAAGGTTTTGCAAGGTGAAGCGAGAAAAATACAAGTTGGAATCAAGAAAACCAAAGTAGTTGTGAAAGAACTCAAAGATACAGCCACAAGGGAGGAACAGATAAGGTTCCTCCGAGAAGTCCAGTCGCATAGGTAGGTATGAGCATCCTCAGCTTAAGCCTGTAATCTTCATTTACCTGTAAAACCACAATTCAATAAGGTCTTTTATCTCCAAATATATAAAAATGCAATTAAATAAAATAGCACCCAATTGCAGCTGAAATTATTTTATAACATAATTAAGTTCAAACAATCCTGTGAAAAGTGACAACATTGCATTCAATTATTACACTAACATATACCACAGTTTCTCAGACAATTTTGGGTGTAAGCCCATCTCTTACTTTACGTCTGATTTCATGTACTAGAACACGGGTTGCCAAAGTGCACATTCAGCCCGCAAAAATAAATTAAAAACCCTATGTGTGTGGCCTGTGAACCATCTTTGGCAAAAACCAATGATCTTTGAAAAGTAATAGTAGCAATGAGCATAATGTGGTATTAAAGCAGTCTATGAAGGTTTTTGGAAGCGCACTCGAAAATTAACGTTGGGGTGCGGCCCTCAGTATTAAATGAAAAATTTACTTTTCCCCCTCCCCAACCAATTTTTATGCCCACAACTGTACTAGAACTTTGCTGGACAAAAATATGATTGATATGAATAGATCAGCTACCCTAATACCAAAAAATATCAGAGTGACATGCAGTGTGCTTTTTGATTGGCTTTTCTATAAAGGTTTTCAATAACAGGATTTATAAATTCCCCCCACCCCCCCAAATTCGTGATAAATGGCGTTGGCAATCACCAGAGGAACTACAGTATGTACTTACAGTATTCAATTTAAAAAGAAGAAAAGATTAATATCAAATAAAATTATTAATTTAATGTTTATTATAATGATAAAATATAGTAAAATATAATTATTTATAATTATAAATAATTATATTTTACTTACAGCGCATACAGACTATTCTAGTCCCAAACATTATTACCATACCAATTATTGATAGTATTTCTTTGTACAGCATGTGACAATGCATAGATCTGTCATATTATATTGATGAAAATTAATTATTAAAAGGTAACTTATACATTAAGAATGAAATTCTGCATCCAAAGAGACCATTTTGTTTGTAAAAAGAATGCTGCGATATTTGCTATCATTGCTTGCATTATATGTATATGAACTAACAGGCATTATTTTCATATTGTTTATGTAAACCCACCTGCCTAAGAATGTCCTTTACCTCTAATATTAATTTGTATATAATTGCTTGTTACTCTGTTGACATCATATATTTTGAAAAGCTGCAAAATAAAAAAAAAATTACAATTTATCAACTTAACTTTACTTCTGCTATTAAAGATATACTGTCTGTGTACTGACCTATTAAGTGCTCCTTGAATATTCAATTTCTCAATAACTCTCTTGAACACAAAATAGGCAATTTGAATAGGGAAAGTTATTTTTTAGCTTTACATCACAGACAATATATCTTTAAAAGCAATATCCATTTTGTCAAAGTGATTATACTGCATAAACATTTTCTGGAAAAGTCATTATTTCCTATAAGTAATCTAACATTAGTTAAGTAAAATCATACCATGGAGGTATTGGTAAGACGAGGCACAAGTTTATTTACTTATTAACAACAAATACTCATGTTTTAAAAAAAAAAAAGACATTACGATCTAAATAATCTTACCGTTATCGTGCATTTAAAAATGCTTTTTGCGATAATACAAATAGAAGTTGTGCAATTGAAGCTCTCTTTTGATAATACATATATAAATGTAATCATGAATTATGCCAGTATACTAATTTATTTTTTGGTTAGTTTTTGTTTGCATTTTCTTTTTCCCTACATTTACATCTCTTTATTTTTTGCTCGATCTATCTCTGTGTTTCCTACCCTCTCTCCTTCTGCCCGGCTCATCTAACAGAGAATTGCGCCACCCTAATATGCTGAGTTTGCTTGGACAGTGCATTGATAGCATTCCGTTTCTACTAATCATGGAGCATGCACCGTTAGTAAGTATTCCATTCTTGAGTTTGTTGAGTTAAGCTGGGTACTCACTGCGGCCGATGGAATACTATAGAAAACGCAACTGCACGATGCACGCGCAACAGATCAATTTGAATGACGACCCATTAAGACAGCCACCAACAGAATCAGCAGGCAGCGTCGCGTCGTCTTGCGCTCAGAGGAATTGGAGTTAGATTCGTCTGCCGACGGTCTTATGACCGTCGTAAAACGCAGTGAGTGCCTGGCTTTAGTTCGCAGGAGCTATGATGATTATTACAGTGGATGATATATCAGTGGATATTTTGTACTTATCTGTGGACAGCTCCTACCATGGAAATTTATATTTAAATGTTTCATATCAGGGACAATTTATCAGTGGACGGTTAGTACTGTAGATGATAAGTACTACAGATGATTTATCCATGGACTTGATTTGATTTTGTTCCAATAAACATACATACAGATAAAATACATTCATATAATTAGTTCATTGGACAATTTATCCGAGGATAATCCAGAATTATTATTATTATTATTATTATTATTATTATACTGTAGATGGTTTATCCATGCGTGATTAGTGCCATGAACAATTTTTTAACTGTGGACAATTGATACCATAAACAATTTGTACTGTTAATGTTGTACAATGAATTCATACCAAACAAATGGACCTTTCTGGAGTGCCAATGACCAATCACAACAGCAGAAATGCCCATTGTACTACAGATGGTTAAAAATCTTAACTCTCTTGCCATCACCGAATAATCTCCCAACCTAGACATAAAATTTCCAGCATTCACAAATGAAAAGAATATGGCAGGGTTTCCAAATTGGGAGAAACGGCTACCAGGAGGTCCCATTAAAGTAACTTTCTTTACACTTCTAATTATATTTTGCTGCATGTGGGGATACACATGGCCCACTGATTTCAGGAAAACAATTGGTAGTACCGTAGTAAAATCATGCAAGAATTACAAATTTGCGCGATATCGGTACTTTCTGATTGCTTACTTGATTCCGGAAAGCTGTGCCAATTTCCGGGAGATTTCTGCAACTCGCAGGAGAATTGGGGCCCCTGATATACATTTTTTCACTTGACTGAAAACTAAAATTTGTTCTGATTCTACCAATTCCAGGGTGATCTCAAGAGTTATTTGATGAAACACAGGGAAGAAATGCAGTCGATGGCCCTCAGAGATGTTCAATTGAAGTTGGCTTGTGACTTGGCTAGTGGCCTAACATTACTGCATCAAGCTGGATTTGTGCACATGTAAGGAACTCTTCATTGAGCTAACCCAGTAAACTGGTGCCCAGCTACTCTTGTCTGTCCACAATATGAGTTGAATGGACCAGTACACCTGGGTATTCCCCTTCTCATCTCAAAAGATGCACTGGGTTCTTTAAAGTGCACTTGATTCAATTGTGTACACTTGGTAAGGTTTGTAGACCTTATCCAAGAAGACTTGTTCCACCACCAGAACCATAGGCAAGCATGCCGCTTGAATCAACAATTATATTATGGCTGCAGTACAAGTTTATAAAATGTTTAAGATTGAATGTGTTTTCCTCTATGTTTATCTAGACCAAACCTTATATTCCATACACTGGTGTACAATAAAACTTAAATATTAAAGGAACGCTAATACAGAATTAATTGAATACATGCAATAAAGTAACAGTTAAGTTATGGAGTACTAATTGTGTTATCATAATATTGAAATTTATACATGTTTTCCAGGGATTTTGCTGCAAGAAACTGCCTTCTGGCCAGTGTAGATTCACTTAAAATTGGAGATTATGGGCTATCACAAGAAAAGTATAAAGTAAGTTTGCAATCAATCATTCAATCAATCATGGAATCTTTTTATTAAAATTTTTTAGGCACCATGGCCAAGTATAGACAATAAAAAATTATTTACTGGACCGGTCAGTGGAGAACGCAATGCCAAAATGTGCGCGGAATGGATTGTTTTTAATTGCAAACTTTTCAGACTGCCACCTACAATCAGGAGGCGGCATCGTGTCGTCTAATTTCTCACAGGCAGCGGAGTTGGATTTCTCGGCCACCGGTCGTACGACTGTCGGATAACGCATAGAGTTTCCGGGTATAAGTCTTTGTTACAAGTCTTATTGAATGGAGTTTTTTTTGGAAAAAAAAAAATCATGTTATTCGAGACCCTGAGCTTGAAAGGCCAGCATCTTAATCTTTAAGCTAACACTCCACTCAAAATGTTTACGGTAATTACAGTTATTAATGTAAAATATTGTTTTATTATAGGGAGATTACTACCGTTTACCATCAACCAACCAGATAGTACCAATTCGTTGGCTACCTCCAGATGGCTTTGAGGTGAATGGTCCTATAGTGAAACCTAAAGCTATTACCAAAGAAAGCAATGTATGGTAAGGGTATTTGTTATTTAAGAGACAAAATTTACTTGTGTCCCAATTATTGGAGTTTCACAAGTCATAGCGTTGAAGCATTGTCAGTTGAGGTGAAAAATTGTGATAAAAGTGCTACCAACTCATATGTTAAAGAAGTAACACTTTCACTATAAAGTAAATAATATATTGTAGAAGTGGTTTGGTGCAGTGGAAACGGTTTGGTTTCCCAAACTTGAAGTCGATGTTTCAATCCCTCGCTGTCCATTTCACTTGTGTCCTTGAGCAAGGCGCTTAATTTGCGTTGCTTCCCTCCACTTAGGAGTATTAAGTGTGTTCCTTGTAGGATTAGAATGCCAGATGCACTGATTAGCTGCTGCAACTGAGTTTGTGTTCCGTAGGTGCTTAATCCAATGCCTGGGGTAATGGTAATGTGAAGCACATAGAGGTCTCATCCTAATGTGCTATATGAAGTCCTGTCCAGACTATCAAATTTTATTTGACAAAAACATGTGACATGCCTAAATATGGTCATAATGACATCACATCATGACCATATATAGGCACATTATGACTATATATGGACATACAACAGTTTTTTTGTCAAAGAAAATTTGATAGTCTGGATAGAGCTTAAGGCCTAGTTCAGACTAGGTAGATAAACCTGGCTCAACTCACCGGGTTTATCCACCTGCCAGTCTGAACTGGGTGGCTTATCTCAAGCCGGGCTGTGTTCCTATAGTAACTAGGCCTGACGCGCCACCGTGTTTAACTTTTCTAAGCCGGGCTTTAATCGTTGAGGGGGGTCTTGCATTGACTTCCGAGTAACAAAATGATCAATCAGCATTCAATTACGTACGCTGTGAGTGAGCGTACGTTTCGCGAGAGAAATGTTTTGAAACACGTTTCCTGGTTACGGTTCATTATTATGCAAGTTCTCGTCTGGCTAAACCTGCTAGTCTGAACGCCTGGCTAAGTTAGGTTTGGTTTAACGTTGAGCCAGGCTAAACTCAAGCCTGGCTTATTTCCAAGTCTGAATGTAGCCTAAGTCTACCATTAGGCAAGACTTCTTTTATACCTTGTTTTGCAAACTAACTGGCCGCAAATAGTAAAAATATAAGTTTTGCTGTATTTTTGTTTCACCCTCCGCTGCTTTGAAATCTCTAAAGATAAGATATGTATATTTCTTCCTATTTACGTAAATTTAAAGAATTTAAGCATCACATTATAACACTGTTTAGATTTACTAATAAAATTTTATTTTTATTTTCTCCTCCGTCTGGATGGATGTTTTTAGCAAAACTATTTGCTAAATAAGAAAACAAAACTTTATTTAAATTTTTTTCCTGTTCTGTTCTGATGACCTTCAAAAAAGTTTCTCAAAACAAGAAATAAAAAAAAATCTTGCCTTATAATTGTTATAATGACCAGTTATGATGCCAATTGTTAGAGACTGCTGTATTATGCGCCTTATAAATCCATTGATTGATTGATTGATTGATTGATAATCAACATTCTATCAGGTCATTTGGTGTTGTGCTTTGGGAACTGTCAACAGGAGCGCTTCTGCCATACAGCAATTGCAACGATGAAGAAGTTGTCAGAGATGTCATTATCCAACAACATACAAAAATAGAACCACCACAACTACAAGTGAAGTACATTGGAAGATGGTATGTAAACACTTTATGTGCAACATAGACAAAACCTACCTTTTAGGACACTCCAAATTATGACTTACACTGTCTTACTGCTGCCTCTGACTAATGTACTTAACACATTTCATCAAAGGTGAATTAAACATGTCTAAAAAAAGCTTACTAGCAGACAATGTGTCATAAAACATTAAACATCTTATAGTGCATTCACAGCTTGTGTTATGTTCATCCAGTACTATTGTAAATATTCATGATGTATTTAAGTATGTGCTCAATATATTTGAATATTCATGTTCATGTTTTATTTACATATTCTATATTCTGACATTGCAGGTGGGAGATTATGCAACTTTGTTGGCAGTCTCATGAAAAGTCTCCCACAATGCAACATATTTTGGAGCTGTTGACTCACCTGAAGTCACATAAGGACAAAAGTGATCGTGAAGAGTTTCAAGAGAAGTGGGACTCCCTGAAGAGCTCGGATTCAGCTGCTTTAAATGGATCAGTACTTGCCACTCATCCTGCATCTTCAGGACACTCTCAAGACTCCAGTTTAGGGCAACTTCTGCAAACTTCTGAAGGGGTGACATTAACATCTGCCAGTGCCACTACCTCAGATACAGATGTTGTAGGGATTATGATGCATCCTGCTCTTACAAATCCTTTGACATCATCCATAGTCACTGTTGAACATCATGCTCCTTTGATGTCTCCAGGTGTGCAGGCAGCAGTTTCTACTGCCAGTGACTCATCTTCTACCTTTACTGCCGAGAATACAACGTTGATTGATGTCAATACTTCAAATGAACAGATCCTTCAAACACCAGAAAGCAATGATCTTTTAAATTCTTATTCTAATGATATTCAAGTATCAGCAGATCTGTTGAAGACTCCTCCTAACACCCCAATTGAAGAAGGTTTCCTTAGTAGGGCATCAGACTCTGAAAATCTGCAGAGCAGTGCAGCTGCTCAAATTTTGAGTGAGGGCTTAGAGACTCTAGATGCTAGAGCAGGTCATGTAGGACTTCCACAATCACCTGAACACATTGATTCTCTGGCAACTATTCAACAGCTTAATAATGTAATGGCAACCAATTTTACTTCTTTAAGCCCTATGGTGACAACGGTTAATGGTGCAACCTCACCAGCTGGTGTAAGTTCACCGGCTGGTGCTGGTGATGTCAAAGTTCTAGAAATTAACATTGGTGATGATGGCAGGTTAATAAATGGTACTGAAGGCAAACCAGTGAAAGAAGGGGAAGAAAATGGAAAACTGCTGCAAGATGATGCGTCAGAAGTGTTCTTGCATGATGGCCGCCCAAGAAAAAGTTCTTTACGATATTCATCCAATAAGGTAGGTTCAATTTAAAGAACATTCCCATATCATCAACATTCTAATATAATATTTTAATATACCTTTTTTTATGTTAGGAATAACCTTACAGTATAAATACTTTATTTAACAAAAGCATATGTGTTATAGCATGGTGATACTCGACCTAAAATCTCTGGGTCTTGGGTTCACTATCAGAATTTGACTGGTGATAATCTATCTTCTAATATGAATATTTTCCATTCAAAATTGTTTTCTTTTTCTTTTCTTTATTTTAAATATACTTGTTAGCTTACAAAATATATTATGATTTACTTTAAGCTCTGTGCACACTGTCAACTTTTATGTGACAAATATTTGTCACATAAAAATTGAAAGTGTGGACACAACTTAATAACACTGGTAAATATATTCAGCACCTTAGTGCTTCATAATAACAAACAGCAATTAGGAACTAACTCTACCTTGCTTGATTTTGTGCAATTTCTGAGAAATCTTTAGTTTGGAAATTGATATGTGCTCTTTAAATTAATAAATTCTATCATGTTTTCCTCTTTCTGACTCTCCCAATTTTGAATCAAAGGATTATCGTTTAGTTTACCTTGATGAATCTTTTGATACTGAGGTATGTACCTAACACTATAACATCACAATTTTATCAATAATGGAATGCATCAATTTTATATAGCTACAGAGGTCACCTTTGAACCAGGAAGTATTTATTCATGAATTGAAGTGTATAGTCCTAGAATGCTCTCTGTGCTTGCCCACTCATAGTGTCCTCTTTGTTTTTTTTTCTCCAGGTGTTTCCTTTTCTTCCAATTCTTCAGACATTTGTTGATCATTGATAATTAATTAGACAGCATAAGTTCAAAGTTCAAGTGTTGTGTCTGATGTAAAGTTTCTTTTAGTAGAACTTACCTCTCGAAAAAGCAACCAGATCACCTTGTTAAGTGTACCTCAATCCATATTTCACGCCTGATTTGTTTGAATAATTGTACAAATATCATAAGGATTTTACAAGAGGATATTACAGTACTTCTCTGAATAAACCCTTCCTATATAACTAAATTTTATATTCCTCTTAAAAATGGAACCCCCTAAAGAATAATGGAACTTTCCACACTTGTGCATGTTTTTTTTTTTTTAATGCAAACTACTATTACATGCTAATTTGCTAATATATAAAATAAATTCCCTTTTTTAATGTTAAATAATAATATTCTCTTTTACTTCTTTTCTAGACTACAAAACTATTGAAAAAGTAGTATTCTGTAATATAAAATTGTATTGATATAATAAGTTGTATAATTTGAATATATAACCAATTGGTTTCGCAATAATATAATACCTAATCTCATTATCATATTGGACATTCAATTTTTTTTTAGCATGTAGTGTATTATTAATCAAATAATCCCAGTACTTTATATCAATAATAATTGATGATGATAATAATATTTAGAATAATTTCCAAGTGCCTTGCACATAATGCACAGCATGGGGATTAACCTCTGACCTCAAGATTGAAAGGCAGAAACGCAACCGCTATGCCAAACTGCTCTTTTCAATCTCAGAGGAATGTGCTTAGGCCTAGTCCTGCATGAGTACTCATCATTGAATGATTTCATGATCATGGAATCCCTTCTTCCAAGAATTCGCTTCCCCTTGGCTCCTCTCACTCCTTGGGATTCTTGATTAAACCCAAATATATATTACTGTAATACAGCAACTAAAACATTGTTGTAGATGGTACTGTAGGTTGGATTGAGATTGAGTGAATGGTTTCAGTGAATGGGGTCAGTAGTTCCCCTGTCTAACAAGCATGGACCCCAATCAACGAATATCACTTTCAAACTAAAATATTACTTTGCTGATGCAACAAAAATTATAGCGATTGATTGACCAATTGCCTAATATTGTGGTCTAAAGCCACAGTTTTTATTCTTTTTAAAAGTTTTTATTTTCCTTTAATAAGAATCTTCTTTAAAATCATAAACATTACTGTTGGTGTTTTTGTCTGCATGATAATTGATAATAATGATGGTGGTGGTATTAAAGTGATTTCTTAACCTTCAGTATATGGCCTGAGTTGTGCCATACTAAACTAGCATCTCTGCAGTTAAACCTTTTTCATCATAGAACAAGTAGTTATCTATGATCAGTACTTTCTTGAGCATTGGAAGCATAATTAACTTTATAGCATGATGGGTGAACTTAATGGTGGTGGTACTATGTGATAAATTATGATTGATTTTATTTGATATAATTTTTAGACGTGATCAAGAGTTGCCAGTAGCAACATATCGTTTCTTCTTCCGTTAATGTACAAACTACTGTATCAACTATGGATGCATAATTCAAGCTAACTGTTATAGGTTACCTTGTCGCTCAACTGCGGATAACATTTATTATAATCAAGCTAAATGCTTTCTCTGTTATAGGTGAATTCGTCACTCAAAATGTACAGTATTTGCTAGTATACTAGCATCCATGTTTGCTTAATGTTGATGTGTTATATTTTGGCTGTACTGTATGGTTTCAAATGATGTTCTTTGGCAGCTTGGTGGTCTTAAGCCATGTCTTTTGGCAACTGGGTAGTAGTAAGCCATGCTCTTTTGGCAACTGGGTGGTCGTAAGCCATGCTGTTAATAGTTTGCTTCAGGACTGTTGTCGGCTTTGGCATGCTATGATCATTGGCACCAGGAATGCTGCTGGCTTTTGCAACTCTGTGGCCTTAAGTAACGCTCTGGTCTCTAGTTTTGTAACAATTGTATTATTTTTGGAATCTAAAGTGTGTTTAAAATCAAATATATCCGAACCAAAGCATGTTGCAGGCTTTCTTTTTTCAAAAAATTCATTTTATTTTCTAAACATAGGCCTCCTACAGTATATGTGATTTATTTTATTTATTTATTTTATTCATTTGGCATGATGGCTCAGGAGTCACAAAAGCGGAAATCCACGGTCGCCTGAAAGACGTGCGGCTCCCAAGATAGATTGCTATATGGCTGGCCAACTGGTGTTTGTGTCATGTCACGTATACCTCCCAAATCAAACAATATATATGTCTTTCAGTTACCAACTGCTTTTACCACTTATGCCTATTGCTTCCAGAAACAAAAATACCACAATATGGCATAACGTTACCCATAAAAACAATGTTTGCCAATTACTTTTTAGTAAAAAGAACAGAATTCTGGTTTTTGGGCCTACAAGACATTAATTATTTAATCTTGATTGATGTTAATTAACAATATTTGTAATAGTATAGGTGCATGATAATTGTATAATATAGTATTGCTAGTCACTGATTACCAACTCAAGGAATGGTTAAATAAAATAATATTATTAATAATAATAATAATAATAATAATAATAAGAATAATAGTGTCGGATGAATTATAAATATTTATATAATTTTTATTTTATTTGAGTACCGGTACATGACATGGCAGTAGAGTTAGACAGCTAACATCTGTGTAGTTAAATCGAACCCATGATATAATATTTTAATTTGTTATTTACTATAATTTAATACAATAATCCACTATTAAAACTAACATATTGCTTGATTGTGCATGATAATATATGTACTGTAACACATGTATATAGCATCATGCTAGGAACCTGACACACACCTGCATCACGCTTGCAGCTACCCCTGGACACAGACTCTTGAATACCGCAGCCATGTCTCATTGGCTCTGACCAATTGCTTAGCGTTAACCAATAGATGTGCCTCCAGACCTTATATGAAGCTACAGTATTGTTCTTGTGTTCTGGATAATATCTAATATGTTGGACCACCTGCATGCAGAATTTGAACACATGTGAGCACCTGCATTTTGGACACAGGCTTCAGGACAAAGAAACATGGGCATTCATTGGACAATTTTTTCTTAATTAACTGACAACCAGCATTTAGTTACATGTGTATAGCCACCTATGGCAGTGTGCCCTGAATATCTGCAGTGATTTCTGAACACAGAGTCTATGAACCATTCTGTAGTCATGTGTGCTGTATGCAAATTATTTTATTAGGTATGATCACTGCTATTATGAGAAGGTCTATATCACCTGTTATAAATCAACCTAGAGTTTAAAATTTGGACGACGAATTTGGACACCTGCATACACTTTGTATTTTTTGCAGTGTACACATCTTTGTAGGTTTTTTAAAAAAGGACACTTTTGTAAATGCTTGCATTTCCTGAGCATTTCCAGTTATGAAATTTGCTTGACGGAGATTCAGCTAATAAACATTTAAGATTTTGCAGTCTTTATTGTATTCCTTCCCCACCCACCTTTTCTTCTGGGAATGCAATGCATTTGACATTTAAAAGGATTTTTAATTACAGGTAATTTTAAAGAAAGTAATGCAAGTTAAATAGCATGATTATTTATATGAGTGACTGACTAAATGGCATATTGGTCAACTGACTGATCAGCTGACTGACTGATTGGCTGGCCAACCAACCAAGCGGCCAGCCAGCTGACAGACTGACTGGTTGGCTGACAGTAAGATTCTGACCAACTGATTAGTTGGCTGACTAGCTAACTGATTGTACGGACGACTGACTGATTGCTTGCATGACTGAGTAACTGACTGATTCGTTGGATGACTGATTAACTGGTTGTTTGACTGACTGATTGTATATTTGGTTGGTTGGTTGGATGACTGATCTCCTGGTTGATCGGTTGGCTGACTGATTGGCTCTGACTGACTAATTAATTTATCAATTGTCTGATTGGCTGACTGACTTGTCAACTGACAGACTAACTGATCGACTGACTGAACAATGGTTCACAAGTTTTGCTGATAATTTTTTTCCCTTTTAGTTAATTATATTCCTTATTGCCGAAAAATATTAAAATTTTCTTTCTGCCAATCATCTACCATAGACAATAGAAGATGGTACTACCAAGTCAGTGAAATTTGAAGATGACCCTTCACTGACTTCTGTCTACAACTATCCAACGGAACCTACCTCACCAATCAACTCCTCTTTCACTGATGAATTTTCCATTGCTGTTGCTTCTACTATCAAATATCCGGAAACGGAGGAGGTCACAGAGACTGCAGTAAGGCCAGATGGCATAGAGATGTTGAATCCACAAGGAAAAGCAGATGAATTGTCATCAGAAGGTGTGCAAGGAGTAAAGAAAGATGTAGATGATGGGATGAAGGTAGAGGGAAGTGTGTCAAATGAACGATTATCTGATAGTGGCGACACTAATGGTGCTGATAATTTAATGGTTAGTTGACTGTTGTGATCTAATGTAATGTGAGATTTATCTAGCACTTTATATACTGAAACGGTCTCAAAGCGCTCGAGGTGTGGACTAGCTGTTACAACAACTTTCTTCTCCTCTAAGGATCTTGTGTCTGAGCTACCCGGTATACTGTTACCAGCTAATCTTGTCTGTCCACAACAGGGGATGAATGGATCAGTGCAACAAGCTAACCACCTACTCATCTCTTAAGGTTTACTGGGTTCTTTAAAATACACATGAGCCAAATTGTGTACACTGGGCCTAGGGTTTATAGTCCTTATGCGAGAAGACTTGTTCCAAAACCAGAACCATGGGCGAGCGTGCTGTTTGAACCAGCGCCAATAGTATGGCTGTACTTAGCGGCGCCCCTGCCTTATCCACTTGGCCATCCAACTGTTGATAAACATAAGAATTTAAAGGTGGTTGATAAGATACATTTAATGTATGCTGTCCCTATTAGCAAATATTGTTCGTATAACCATTATTTTTTTCATTATTGTTTTATGTTTGAAACCCTTAAATTAAATTTTTTTTTTTTTTTGTCACAGCCTCAGATGATTTGATGGTGTCTGAAATCTAAAGCCAATAAAAAGAAGCCTTTTTGCCAATGAAAAATTGTCTAATATATTATGGTAAGCATTAAACACTCACGGTAAGCATTAAACATTGACATGCCTCACAGTGATGTCAAATCATCTCGAATTACTCGTTGTGACAGATCTAAACTTGCTTGTATAAACCTCTAAACATTAAAAATAATATAAACTTGATTAATAATAGTACTGAAGATGAAAAAATAATTAAATTATATTCATTATTGCAAGATAAGTTATGATATTTGTGTAAATGCCATAGAATTAAGCTATGGGGCATTTTTTGTTACTATTATATTAATATTATTAACATTGTTTTCTTTATTGGGGAGAAATTGGTGAATGGTAGAGACAGTTCTTAAAATTGACTGTTTACTTTGTAAAATGTAATTACAGAAATAATAATTCAGAAATGATAATAATTTATGAAATAATAGTAAAATTTGAGTACATAAAAAATGAACTTCTTTAATATTATTAAGAGCAATTATATAAATAACAATAAATTATATGGTACACTTATAAATAATTGATGAAAAGTACTATGAATTTTTTTAAATACAGCCTTCAGTTTCAATGAAAAATGTAATAATTCTGTTTTTTATACCTTGATGATTTTTGGAGATGGCTATTCAAATTTCTAGACAAATTCTTGTTAGATTTACCTTGCAATGATTCCCTCCATGAAACTGTTAATAGAATGTTGTTTTTTTGAGTGTCCATAGATTATGTGTCCTAAGTGTTGATAGAATGTTCATTTTCTGAGTTTCAATAGAATGATCCTATTTTAAGCCTCATCAGTTTTCTGAGTGTAAATATAATGCTCATCTATTGATTTTCAATAGAAACATGTTGAAAAGATAATGAACCTTTTAACCCACCAATTTTTAACCTTTGTCACTAGTGGCATTTTTTTTATATTGTATGAAAAATTATATAAAATACTACCATTATTTCTGTGTGTAAATTATATTTAATTTTTTTCCAGTCTGCTTTTATATTAAAATTATTATTAGGTTGATTATTATGACTTAACCTTGAGTGGCACTTTGCATACTATGAAAAGCATGAAGACTGCTTTCAAACTTGTGCTGAAGCCAGACCTGATTCAAGCCTAGAGTGAATTTCATGTCTGGTGTGAACATGTTGATTGTCTGCTCCAAGTCTTTTAATCTCAGTTGACTTCTGCCATCGGAAACCTTGAAGCCGGACTACGGCAGGAGAATACCCAAAATTGTATTATTTTTTTCGCTAGCTCTGTGATTGGTTACTTTTTGACAAGCGGTAGAAATATGTCGATCTGTCCTTTATATATTATTTGGTTTTATCTTATCGTAATATTATATGTATTGTGGTTGGTAAAGGGTTTACAGATTAGCTAGGGGTTTTATTTTTTGTTATTGATGTGTAATTTGGTATATAAAATAAAATGTATATTTTGGATAAATTGGTGTGATTGTATCGGTCAGAAAACATGATTAGGTAGTGGGTTATCATAAGTAGTGTAGATATCTCTTATTTTTATCTTTTATAATGTTTTATGTATTGTATTTTGATAACACATGTTGATATAAACTGATGTATTATATTGAAATTTGATTTGAAATATTTTCACCCAGTCATCAAATTCTCCCATGAAAACAAAAAATGTTGCCATTTCAGCACATTCTCTGGGCAATACTAATCTTGAGGTTTGCTGCACTGTACATAGAGTTAAATAATTTTGTTTTCGTGTAAAGGAATATTTTTTTGCCAATTCATAATAGAATTATGAAAGAATGGTTAAAAAAAAAAATTAGGAGCTCAAGCTATAGGTGCAGATCTATAGAAATATCTGGGTAGGGGACATGGGACATGCAGGTATGAGGGGTGGTGTTTGGGATTTTGTTTAGAAATGCTTGAACATATACACTAGTACATGGAGTTCTTATCAAAAATTATTAATACTGTACCATACTCTACTTCTGCAAATGTCCCTTTCACAGACTCAAAAACTCACAAACTTTTGAGTTCTACATCTGTAGAATTGAGCCCTCTTGGATTTCACTTGTCTGCCATATGACGTTACTAGTTGTTAGCTAAGCAGGGTTAAAACCAGGGATTTCCCCTTACTTAGCCAAACCTTGGCCTAGATATATTTTAGGTCTATTATGAGATAATTATTTGTACTAATGAATACAACATATGATGAAGTATGAAAGCAAAGAGTAATTGTGGGAGTTGAGGTGGTTGAATATTTTGGTAGTGATATACTGTATGTTCTAATTGAAGTTTGATAATTCTGAAAAAAAAAAAAAAATTGCCAGTGTCAGTAAAACATTGCAATGAATTTATTAAAAATAATCTGCTTAATACCATGTTCACTGCTGTGGGGAAGGGTGGGGATTTAATGAATTCTATTGTGATAGAGATATCTGCCTCCACCCTGCCAACTTAATCTATAGTAAACTTGGCCCCAAAGCAGTGAATTCACTGTTTCACTTCTTAGTAAATTTGGTCTGTGACACAAGTATCTTGAGGGACATTATGTGCAGAAAAAAAATATATGAAAGGTTGGTTCAACTTGATAGAACTTGATGCTTTGACCCATCATTTTAAAGCTTACAATGTGGAGAATAAGAATATACTGTATTAAAATATCAATTTTTATTTTTCCACCAATGCTGGTTTTGGGATAGCAAACCTCATATAGAATAGTTTTGTTGGTAGCTTAAATACAGTATAGAATATGTATAATAATTTCTATTAAACTTGGTATGTTTCAACCGTTGATAAACTGTAGAGGGTGTCCTACAGCATTATTTAGTATCAAAAAACTTGATAAAAAATTAATTACTTGATCAGTGCTTTCATTTATGAAATATCCTACTCGGAATGTTATTTATGATAATTAATTTGATGTGTTATATTATCAAATATTGATATAATCAGAAGATGCAATAGTGTGAAAAGATATATATTCATAGGAAATAAAAAAAAAGGATATTAGATGATGTCATTGTATAAATTATATTTGCACCAGTGTTTGGTTTTATGCTTATTGCATGTAATCAGTGGCGGCTCCAGGATATATTT